AGTGAGAGCTCCTCTTCAACAGCTTGGCCGTCAAGGCCCACTCCCTGCCGTCCTGCCTCCTCGAGCCGCTCGCAGCATCCGTCTGATACCAGCGAGTGCTGCCGCGAGGCAGCGATAGGCGAGGTTTTTTTCGTCATCCTCCCTACAACTCTCACAGCGTCTGTGCGACGCCGTGAGTACGGCCGCGAGGTGCGTGGTAGGGCGTGTGAGTGCGTTTGGGGACTTGGGTAGCAGTAGGCTAGGATCTGCTCGCAGAATATTCCCTCCGGGCAGTGCAGGGTTTGCGCCCCGAATAAACGTTAGCACAGAGCATCGGTGTGGCGCGAAGTGGTTTGTGTGCGGAGCGGCCGCGTGGGCAGACGCGCGGCGAGAGTGAGGGCAGAGCCGCAGCACGGAGCGCGCGTTGAGATAGTCGCCTGCAGGAGCGCGCATGTTTCGCGCCGCCGCTGTAGCGCTAGTCTTTGTGCGGACGCGGATTTGGGTATAACCGCCGGCATGCGCGCGTGTTCGCGCAGCCGCTAGCGTTAGCTGCAGTGTGTGTTAAGAGGAAACCGCTCGCAGGTGTGGGTGCGGTCGTACAGCTGTGCGCCGCGTTGGCGTGAGTGTTGGCGTGTGCGCGTGTGTGGATTAACCCCGTGCGGAGGTGAGCCGGCGATTTAGCTATGTCAACTCAGAGGAGGCGCTAACGCGGGGGGGGGGGGGGGCGATTACCCGGTCGGCAGGGGCCTGGTGGGGGGGGTCGATCGACGTGGTGGAGGAGGGAGCGGTGGGGTGGACGCCGGCCCCCACAATATCTATGCCGCACATTCTAAACCAGGGGTGGGGAACATTTGTTCTGCCAAGGGCCATTTGGATATTTATAACATCATCATTCGCGGGCCATACAAAATTTTCAACTAAAAAATTAACCTGTTATATTTGCTCAAACATTTAATTAACTCACCCCTAATGTGATGGCTGAAACTGCTTCTCTTTGGTGAGGCGTGTGGTGATGTTAGCTGGTATTGATGATGTTGCTACTCGCAAACTGCTTTTCCAGGTTTTGCTCCAAGATTTGTAGAATTTCGAGTCCCGCCTGCGGTTGCCTTGGCAGGGCCACACCAAATGATTTCGCGGGCCTCGTCCAGCCCGCGGGCCTTGTACGGCCCGCGGGCCAGACGTTCCCCGGCCCTGTTCTAAATGAAACGGTGCCTGTGTGCAAGCACGTATGCATGTGGGGAGCGGTCGTGTCGAGGTTCACGCACTACGCTACGAACACGGCAACCAGAGTTCGATTCCCGCTCATGACCAATAACAGTGGTGAATATTTGAACCGGTCCCGGGCCTCCCAAAGGTCGACTCAGCCTTAAATGAGTAGCAGGTATCGTGCGGAAACATCGGCCAGGCGAGGCATTGACCACCCACGCCCTCGTGTGTGCCGTGCCGGCCTTCAGAGGTGCTTGTTAAGAGCACTTGCCCCAGCGGTATGTTGAGGCTCTAGGGGGGATTCTTTGTCCGTAGAAACTATCCCAGGCTGTGGGGTGCAACAAGCGTGACACATGCCCTATAGTGACATCACCGCCAGGCCATCGTTAACAGTCGACCCAGGAGGCTTGAAAATTAGACGAGCAGCGATGGATCAATTCCATTAATTTGAATAAATTACCCCCCCCCCACCCACCAACAACACATGCATCGTGCGAGATTCGATCGGTTTAAGATTTGCGCAAATTATAGGCAAACGAGACAACAGGTAAGCAATACTTGCACCCAATCACCACTCCGAATCGTGACAATTCATCGGGAAGCTGGGGGTGGGGTGGTGTGAATCAATACATGCTGACTGCATGAAGTGGATCAAAAAATATTAAACAAGAATAAGATCCGTTTACATAGATGCTCTCAGTTTGCACCGACACTGCCAACATGAAGTCGTTGACTGTGTCAGCGCTTTTTTCCCCTGACTTCGTCGCCACCCCGCACCTCCGATTAGCATGGTCGTCGACGTACTGGTGCGAAAGAAGTTCAATGTACGTAGAAACCCAACTCATGAAGAGATTCTACATTATATGCTTAGTTCTTTCGGTAAAGTCACGTTGAAGGGAAACAATAAAAAAAAAATATAAAACAATAAAAAATTCTCACGACGTTTCGACCATAACACAAACGGTCGTCATCAGGTGTGTCGGTTTGCATAAATTTATTTATTTTAAAACGGCACACCTGATGACGACCGTTTGTGTTATGGTCGAAACGTCGTGAGAATGTTTATTGTTTTATATATATTTTATTATTTTATTGTTTCCCTTCAACGTGACTTTACCGAAAGAACTAAGAATATGAATTACTGCAGTCACGAAAGCTTTAAATCAAAAAGATTCTACATTGTCACCCTTTGAACATCCCATTGGAAAACTCACTTTGCTCAGAGCTTCAGGCATCTGATGATACTCACCGCTGCGCATAACATTTTAAGTATATAGGGTGGCAAATACATTTAAGATACATAGGGTTATTTCATTTATTGTAACGCTGGCTTGAACATTCTTTATTATTTATTATTTAAGTTATTATGTTATTCATGATTTAAGGAAACTCGACCAAGAACCCTGAATGAATTGAGGCAAACAAAACATAATTTGTAGATGTTGTGGGTTTACTCTCCAACACACTGGTGTGCTGAACTAGTAACGAATTGGCACGTTTTGTTTACCGTGACAATCCTTGCTAATTGGCTGTGTTAGGTGGTGGCGGGTTTAACTACGCATTTATATTTAACATTCATATCTAACCCAAAACATCTATTATGGAAAACATAATTGACGAATGTTCAAAGATCACTCAGCAGTAATTTTACGGAAGTAAATTTGAACAATTGTTAAAATCAATTAAACAATCCTACGTGACTTGTTACAATAAATATAATAACCGAATGTGACCGTTATAAGTCAGTTTGAACAATTGTTAAAATCAATTAAACAATCCTACGTCACTTGTTACAATAAATAAAATAACCAAATGTGACCGTTATAAGGCCAAAGGCAATGTGTTTATAAATAATATAATAAGTTACTCGACTAAATAACAACAAACTTAACGCATTCATCAATAGCAATGTTGCCTTAAAAGAAAAACATGTACAGTGTACAAGAGGCCACGCTTTTGGGGGCAATTATCCTTCTTTAAGCACGTACATAGAGGCCAGAGAGAAAGAGAGCAGAGTGGGTAATACTCTCTGGTTCCTTCGGTAAAGTCACGTAAGTAGAAAAATAAAATAAAAAAATAAAAAATCACGACGTTTCGGTCGCAACACAAGCGGTCGTCCTCAGGCGGAAAAAAATAATCCAGCAGTGGAAACTGCTGAACCAGGATTAACACAGCGAGAGGGCTGTTACAACATGAGGCGAAGGGCAAGCAAGCGGGGTCTGAGCTGGAAAGGAATTCCATCCCCGCACGCAAGCACGTCAGTTGTGTTAATGAGGACGACCGCTTGTGTTGCGATCAAAACGTCGTGATGTATTATTTTTTATTTTATATTTCTACCTACTACGTGACTTTACCGAAAGAAGCAAAGAGTATGGATTCCTGCAGTCACGAGAGTTTCAAATCAAGATCGGAGTGGGTAATATAAAGTGATGACAGCACCTTACACTATGGGGCCTGATAAGAGTTAAATGAATAAATGCTATTGACGAAGCTGTTTCTTGTTTTTTTTGCGTGTTTGTGCCCCAATGCGACTGAAGCAGCGGTAGCAGCACCACCACCAAATAATGATTATAATCGGTCAATTAAATACATTCGTGCAATCCACGAAAGTCCTGAAAATAACTTAACAGGAAGTTGGAATTACTGAAATCCTTGACAACCTAAAAATATCTTCGGAAGATATTGTAATACGTGAGAGTCGATGCTCTGTAATTATGTTACGCTGCTTTGTGCTGTTAAATTATTGAATAGATGGTTTTTTTTTGGTCCATACAAGTTAGGCCTCAAGATTTAAATAGGCACAACGCTCCCTGATGGACAACCCCAGCGTGCACGAGGCCCAACTTATCAAATTAAAGGATTGTTGAAACAATAACAATAGCTTTTCACCCAATCAAATGATTGCACTGCTCCCACCAGCCACCCATCTACGAATTGGCGTCCGTGTCCGTGTAGCAAGAAATGGCTTTGTACCGATATCTGGTTCTGCTATCACCGTGTTGATCTCCTTCACTGGGGACCACAGAGTTTCGATAACACACTGGCACGGCTGGCTACGCACGGTGCGAAAGAAGTTCAACATACATACATCAAAGATAAAAGATCCCCCGTATAGCCTTAACAGACTGTAGGGGCAAGTGCTGTTAGCGAGCACCTATGAAGTCCGGTAACGGTACACCAGGGGGGGGGGGGGGGGGGGGGTGGCCAGCACCACGCCCGACCGCCTTTGTCTCCCTAGTGGCAATGTTTACACACCGTACCAGGTACTCATTTGTGGCTGAGTCGACCTAGGGGAGGCCCGGGACCGGTTCAGATAATCGTCACTGGTGTTGGCCGTGAGCGGGAATCGAACCCGGGTCGCCGGGTTCATAGCGCAGCGCACTAACCGCTACACTATCGCTCCCCACACATACATACATACACGCGCACACACACACACAGGTGCTGCCTGAGAAATACCGTACGGTGGGTTGTTGGCGTCCGCGGTGGAAAAGGTGATGAGCCAAACTCTAACTTGACAGAGTTTCAACAAATGTAAAAAAAAACATTGCTGAACAGCCTTCTCCCTGCGCTCTTATCATTCCGGCTTCAAATTGCAGTCGTAAACAATGGCTCGCTATACTCTACTGGGTGAGTGGGCCTTACCTGGTAAAAGAAAATAGTTTGGTTTAGTTTTAGATGTCTTAATAAGGCTGAAATTCGTATGCAGTTGCATTGGCGTCATAGTGTAGCCGAAAGAGGTCACGGGGTCATGGCTCTTTCCAGCTCTTTGGCCACCGCTGGCTGTGTGCAGGATTTACGCGGCGACGGTGCTGTCATCCTGACATGCATATCGTGCCGAGACATCCCGTTATGCTTTTTGGTCTTGAGAACACCTTTGCTGTGTATAGCAATTATTGTTGTACGCATTATCGAACCGCAGTTTACTCCGCGCAGTCTGGTAAGAGAGACGAGCGATTTGTTTTCAGTTGTTTGGCACAACGCGTGACGTTCATTATAAACGTGGGGGGATCAACCGGGGAACCCTTGAGAAAAAAAAATCCACGTGACCACAGGGAGAGAGTGAGAGACACCGCAAATTCCAAATATACAGGCAGGCGTCAAGCTCGGGATCAAACCCATGACCTCCAGGTGAGGGAGTTAACATCTCCTAGCCACCGTGGTGGGGGGGAGGGGGGGGGGTGGCGTACCTTCCGGGCCATCGCCGCCGTCACCGACCGAGTCGGCGAGCATGTCCCTGGTGAAGGCGAGGGAGCCGTTGTGCGGCTCGGGCTGCACCCCGAGCAGCTCGCACATGAGCGCGTACACGTGCACGCTGGCGAACGGCTCCGCCACGTAGCCCCGGCGGAAGCGAGGACCGAAGGCGCGGAAGATGGTCCTCATGTCCGCCTCTGCGTTGTCGAAGCCGTGTTCGCCCTTGTTGAACTGGAATATCATCCTCTGTCCGGTGGGGGGGGGGGGGGGTACAGAATTCCCACCGAGCGTTTTCGGTTAACCTCGTCAAGGCGTCTCGCTCCACCACCCACACACCTACCCCCACACCACACCAATGTCATCGCTGGGCAGAGCTCATCTCTGTTGGCTGCCCTAGGCCGGTGGTGGAGATTGAATACTCCTCAAAGTGGCAACCGCTCGCTCGAGAGCACAGGCGCTGTCGACGTTCCACCAAGCGGTCCTCATTTTATTGACCTCGAAGGGTTTTTTTTTACGTAAAACCCGACGATTGCGAGTGTGGCCACGGTGAGAACTGCTCTCAAAATACATCGAACAAAATATCGTCACGAGATAGTTTTGTTGTTGTTGTTGCCATCTCCAGATTCACTGCGGTGTCATCAAGTACCGCATGCGCACGACGAGGAGCACGTGATTACGGCGACGCTCAAATTGACGTCGTTTGGTCTTTTACGTTGTTGTTGTTGCTGTTGCGGCTGCTGCTCGTCTTCTTGGCTTACCCCATTGACCACGTAGCCGAGGTCCCCGTACATCATGATGGGCAGCAGTCGCCTGTGCTCCCGGTAGCGAAAACGTTCCGGGAACTCCTCCTTCCTGTAGACGTTCAGCTTCGGGTGGGCGCCCTTCAGGGCCCGGTACACGGCCTCCTCCCTGCCCTGCTTGGGCTGAATCATGGCGAACGGCCCGTAGTCCACTATGGCTAACTTGACGTCCTTCGTGAAGTTGATGAACTTCGACAGCACGATCTCCTCCACGGCCGGAGCCTTCTGCGTGGGCGTCATGCCGTGGTCCGAAGTGATGATGACGTTCATGTTGCCCGTGAGCCCTCTCTCCTCCATGCTGCGCAGCAGGTAGCCCACCGTGCGGTCCACCTGCCTCACCTGCGTCACAATAATAGGGGAGGGGCGGGGGGGGTTAAGATGGCTCACGAGGAACGACATCACGTTTACCACCCCCCTCCCCCAGCTCTCTATTTAAGAACGGAAAAAGGAAGATTTCGCCACTATTCTGGAATATCGCCTGATGAGGCTGGTTGCAATTACCGGGCGAAACGTCACAGTACTCTAATTGGTAAAGGTTGTGGGTTTACTCTCCGAACACAACCGGTGTGCCGAACTGGTATCTAATTGGCACGTGTTTTTTACACGACAAACCCTACTAATCGGCCGCGTCGGGTAGTGGTGGCGGGTTTATATCAACGGCGATCAAACCCGAACAACCAAACATAAAACGACCCTTCCTCAATGATGGATTAAAATCGGTCGCGAAAGCCCCCTCCCAAACTCCTCCTGCGTGTTAAACTGCCTCACCTTCTCCTGTCGCTCCTCTGAATGCGGCCCGAACTTGTGGCCCGTCACATCAGGCTCGCCGAAGTAGAGCGCCACGAAATCCAGCTTGTCCATGACGAACCAGTCCATGACGGTGTCCACGTTGAGCCGCCACTCTGTCTCGTTGCTGTAGTTGTAGGTGGCTTTCTCCAGCAGCGACCTGTACACGGTCTGGCCCTGGTACGTGGCTGCACCGCCGGGGAAGTGCAGAGAGCCGGTCTTCAAGCCCTGGGTGTTCGGTGTCGGAGGTGGTGGGGGAGGAGTGGCGGAGACGGGATCATTGGGGGTTTCGTGGGAGATGACATAATGAAGAACAAGCCAGTGTATAACATTTTGACTTAAAACTTTCGTGAAGACAGGAATTCAAATTATTTGGTGCTTTCGGTAAAGTCACGTAGATAGAAAAATAATAACAAAAAATAAAGTTAATAAAAAATCATAAATAAAAAACCACGAATGTAGACTGTAGCCTAGTTCTTAACCTCGGTGAGTGTACTGGCAGTCTATAATGTAGACTGTAGCCTGGTTCTTAACCTCGGTGAGCGTACTGGCAGTCTATAATGTAGACTGTAGCCTGGTTCTTAACCTCGGTGAGCGTACTGGCAGTCTATAATGTAGACTGTAGCCTGGTTCTTAACCTCGGTGAGTGTACTGGCAGTCTATAATGTAGACTGTAGCCTGGTTCTTAACCTCGGTGAGTGTACTGGCAGTCTCTAATGTAGACTGTAGCCTGGTTCTTAACCTCGGTGAGCGTACTGGCAGTCTATAATGTAGACTGTGGCCTGTTTTTTTAAGCTTCGTGAGCGTACTGGCAGTCTATAATGTAGACTGTAGCCTGGTTCTTAACCTCGGTGAGTGTACTGGCAGTCTATAATGTAGACTGTAGCCTGGTTCTTAACGTCGGTCAGTGTACTGGCAGTCTATAATGTAGACTGTAGCCTGGTTCTTAACCTCGGTGAGCGTACTGGCAGTCTATAATGTAGACTGTAGCCTGGTTCTTAACCTCGGTGAGTGTACTGGCAGTCTATAATGTAGACTATAGCCTGGTTATTAACCCCGGTGAGCGTACTGGCAGTTTATAATGTAGACTATAGCCTGGTTCTTAACCTCGGTGAGTGTACTGGCAGTCTATAATGTAGACTGTAGCCTGGTTCTTAACCTCGGTGAGTGTACTGGCAGTCTATAATGTAGACTATAGCCTGGTTCTTAACCTCGGTGAGTGTACTGGCAGTCTATAATGTAGACTATAGCCTGTTTTTTTAAGCTTCGTGAGCGTATTGGCAGTCGACATTCGTGTTTTTTTATTATTCTTATTTTTTATTCACTTTATATCTATTTATTTATTTTCGATCTACGTGACTTTACCGAAAGAACCAAAGAATAAGCCAATGTTTCAACAAGGACTGTGGTCCAGCTAAGGGGTAGGTGTAACCGCAGCCAGAACACCGCACTGGGCTTAACTAACTTGTCTGGAAGTGTCACGAAATTTTTCACGAGGAATGCCCCAAAAATAAATAAATAAATGGTCGTGAACTAAAGCCCCGTTTTGAATGGGGATTTAACAATTTCTAGAATTGTCACATTGTGTGTTGGTTGTGGCCAACGATGCAAGTGTAGGATGACCATGACCGAATGGAGGCAGCATTGTGGCTCAACCTCTTCAGATCTCGTAAGCTAAGCAGGTTGGAGCCTGGATGACGCTCGCATGGGAGACGATCATGTGCACCCCCGCTTGTCACGAACAGATGCAGGGCTGTGCGACGTGGAGGTAAATTCGGGGGGGAGGGGGGGGATAAACCAAAAAAACAATTAATGTACTGTACTTCTATCCCCCCCCCTCACACACCTGCCAACACATATATACTCCTCACCTTCACGAACTAGCGTAGTATGGGTCAAATGTAACTCCCAGGACGCGCACAGCAGTGCGGTGGACAAATGGGCAGTACACGCACACATTGTTCGCGACGTCTGGTGTGGTGTGACCCTTGCACCCGTGCACGGTCAACGCCGATAAACGACATTTTACTTTACCAGCTAAGGCCCACCGAGCCGTGTAGCTCTTTCTTTCAAAAAGTGACCTGGCCATCACAAATTATAGCTCAACGAAGTGGCTTATTATCACGTGAGAAATGTGTAGCAGCAGCCAAATATACTCAAAACGCGGCTTCGTTCTAAATGTGGAGTGGGGGGGAGGGAAACCAGAGGACCCGGACAAAAAATTAACGTGACCGCTGGGAGAGAGAGAGACATGCAAACTACAAATATGCAACAGGCGTCAAGGGTCGGGATCAAACCCACAACCTCCTGTATAGCGGGCAAGGTAGTTGACATCTCGCCACTGCGGCGACCCTCCAACTGTGAGTGCCTACGGTGCCCACGGCGACCTGGTTCTGAGCACTGATCCAGATGGGGAGGGTCTCGTTCCACCACTCGGAGCGCTTCTGCGCCGCGTGGTAGCTCTGCTTTTCCCAGGGATCCACGTTGTAGAGCTGGTTGTGAACCGCGCCGTGCGACTCGATGTGTTTACCTGCGAAAGATCAAAATCGCGATCGGCGTCACGGCCAAAGTAGCCGTTGTTGGTGCCACCACAACCTCCCCAATGCTTTCCACCCCTCTGCCATATCCTGTGCAGCTGCTGCACCGGGCTGGCAACGCCAACCACCCACATCAATCTACCCGCACGGTCTCCCACCACGTGGTCTTTGGTTTCCCCTGGGTCACTGGGCTCGAGTAGACCGCTCCAATACCTGCCCGGAATCGGTCCTCCGGTGTGCATGTTCTCTCCGTGGCCGCGTGGATTATTATTTTCTTTCTCCGGGTTCTCCGTTGTTGTTTTTTTTTTGGTTGTTACACTACACGTTTAGAAACACGCATTAACATTACTGTATTTAGATTGTTTTGGTGCTATAAATGACCCACTTTGTTGAGCTATCATTTGTGGCCAGGTCGCTTCAGTAAAATAAGTTAATACCTGAGTGGCCCTAGCCTGGTAGGATGGGGATGGTTTAGTTGTATGCGTTTGGGTGATTTGTTTAACTTTCTTATACTTTGCACTACTATCATGTTTTGCACTTTTGCTGTAACCTTCTTAACCGCCCCTACTGGACATCTATGAAAAAGAGCTTTATTGCTCATCGGATTCCTCCAGTATATATACTGTATTCTGATTCTGATGCTGCACACGCATCCCACTAAAACAAGTGTTTGTTTTGCCGAATCACAACTGCAGTACTTACAGTACTTAACCTGAACTGTTTTTATTTTGCGAGGTAAGGCTCACTTGAGCTATGTAGCTCCTTTTCAGAAGCGACCTGGCAATCACAAATGATATCAAAACGAAGTGGCTTATAACGTGGACATTTATAGCAGCCAAATACTCTATGAGCGCACTTTGATTCTAAATGTGGAGGGAAAAACTGGAGATCCCGGAGAAAATTTCACGCGACCACAGGGAGAACATGTAAACTTAAAATATACAGGCGTCAGGGTTGGAGTTAAACCCACGACCTCCTGCATACCAGGCGAGGCAGTTAACATCTCGTTACCGCGCCACGTTCTCTTCTGGACTTCTGCATTGCTTAGTTTAACGGAAACCCAAGTGACAGTCGACACCTTGAAATCAAGGTCAGTCTGTGGGATCAGCACCGTAATTATCAACTGTCGCACAATCCGACCACGGCAGTGGGACTCCCGTAAGGTCGCCGTACCAGTGACGAGGGTGAAGTGAGACGGAGAGGTTATCGTGATGAAGGGCGGCACCATGTGTTGCGCCGCGACCCCGATGGTGCGCAGGTGGTCCAGGTTCGGGGTGTCCACGTCCTCGTCGTAGTCCCAGCGGAAACCGTCGAACGAGACGAGCAGCAGCTTCTGACGCTGCCCTCTGTGCGACGGCAGCGCGCTCGATCCCACGCACGCGACGCAGAGCGCGAGCGCCAGGAGCTGGCGCCCCGAACCCCGCTCTCCTGCCAGCGCCGTCATCGTCCTCGCCCGTACCCAACAACGTCTCCTAGAACTGCATGGGAGGAAAGCTTTTTTTTTTTAATCGATGTCATAGCCCGTGTGATTGATGTATATTCGAGCAATGTGTAAAGTCTTAAGGAAGATAAGGGACACGACACACTTAATGGGCTGCTGGTCGTTGATAATGTGAAGAGCGTGAGCATTAAGATCCCGCTTTCTCTCGCTCTCTCTCTGCGCCATCATCCCCCTTACCGTCGTTCCCAGGAAGGGCTTTGACGTTCTTCTTCTGGGACGGCGCAGAATGGAATGTTCGGTGCACGGAGATTTTAAGTGGCCGAAAAGTGGTACGGGGAAAATCGCACTTTCGGGTGCAAAGTCTTCGCTTTCAGAGATAAGAAAAGAACAGGTTTAGAACATCAAAAAGAAAAAGTGGCAATAATTGTTTATAACTGTGGAATAGAACCCATGTTGTCCTCTGCAGTCGTTTCATCACCACAAAGGTGAACCATTGCAACGTCAACATTTTCAACACGACTCCACGACAGTCACAAGCAGACACCACTGGAAGTTTGCAATGTTTTATTTTTCATCTATAATCAAAAACTCTAAAACATGGATAAAAACCAGCATGCCTTTTTGCCTACAAAGAAATAGATGTGCATGATATGCAGTTCGTAGTTGACTAAATTTACAAGGCAGGGCCACAAAATAAACATTTTTCCTTTTTTTGTATTACTTTTAGAGCCCTTAAAAAATACACACATTCTCATCAAATCACCCATTGCATGTGTTCTATGTACATTGCACGTGTAAAAACTTAAAAATCCACCTGCTTTGCTTTTACATTTCATAAAATATATCGTTTGCCAGTTACGCAGGCAACACGATTCCCATTATCGCATACCAAGGCACGACGCGTCCTATTAGTTAAATTCTTAAAAGTAGCCTTCAGTGCATTCATGCAATTCAGCATTATTTCAGTAGCACTTTTTTTTTCCAACACTCGCGAATAAAGAGTTACATAGCATAGGCCAAAACGGGCCCGAAATTTGTCGCGCGCGTTAATGCCACCCCTTGTCGCCAAGTTAAACTGGTTCCGATATGTTTCAGATTAACATACCACGTTCAAAAATGAGGCCAACTGTTTACAGCTTTAAATAAACTGCATCATATGTAAACACAACTGCGATGTTGTTGTTGACGGATAGTTTACGCCTCGCAAACTTTTCCTCGTAACTGCGAGCACATCGTAAAAGCTGCTTTTTTTTGACAACACCTACGCTCGTAATATTAAAGTTTACAGAAACTGGAGCTCTTCGTGAGCCAAGTACACTTATGGTTCCCTAAAATTTAGAGTACTTAGTTTTCCATCACAGTATATTCATTTAAGCAAGAATTTCCTTTAAAAAAAAAAGACATAATTTTTCTTCTTTGGTTCTTTCGGTAAAGTCACGTAGAATGAGAATAAAATAATAAAATAAAGCAATAAAATTCTCACGACGTTTCGGCCACAACACAAGTGGCCTTCTTTAGGTGAAATGAACAAACCTGTCGGCACGACAGAGCTACATTGTAGCATTGTAGCTCTCATTGTAGCTCTGTCATCCCGACAGGTTTGTTCCTTTCACCTGAAGAAGGCCACTTGTGTTGTGGCCGAAACGCCGTGAGAATTTTATTGCTTATTTTATTATTTTATTCTCATTCGACGTGACTTTACCGAAAGAACCAAAGAAGATGAATCCTTGCAGTCACGAAAGCTTTCAATCGAGACTTATAATTTGTTAATGTCCGGATTTGGGAGTTTCCATTCACCAGCCAGTGAGGTAGCTATCTCTTCCAGTATAATAATATCCAAAGCCAGATGGGTGTTGATCCAAAAACAATTGTATCAGTGTAACTCGTTACAAAATCATAAATAGGTGTAACAGTCCATCTCACTGGGAAGATTATCTACGTCAATGTTCCTCGCTGCAAGGCCCGCGGGGTCACTGGCGTCTCCTGGTGGCCTTTAGTGCGGCCCCTGACGTGCAGTCCCCCCCGACAATACACAAATTGTGAAAACACCCCCCCCCCTCCCATCATCATCATCATCGTGCTGCTGTCAAACCCCCAATGGTTTCAAAAACGTGGCGGGCCCTCACACCGATGATGTCTTATTGGCGCAAAAGTGCCCCCCCCCCTCTGAAAATTAAGAGAATAACACTGCTCTACGTGATAACCCGTTGATTTTCTTGTTCATTTACAATCTAGAATGTACCAACACTTGGTTTCTCTAGGAAAATATGAAGCGTGTGGAGCGGGGGGGGGGGGGGGGGGGGGTTTTGGGTGGAGTGTGACGCCAGTGAATTTTCTCTCTGATGCGGGGAAAATCTTCCTTGTTCACGGGTGTAGGGGAGATGAAGGGCCTCTTGCTCACGTCTTGATCTCCAGGATGGATGGGTTTGTGTCGAGGATGGCCAGGATTATCTTGTCCATGTACTGCCTCAACCGGAAGTTGATCTCTTCCTGCTCACGTAGCGCCTCCATGACCTGCAACAGTCGACCCACCAAATAAATAAATAACCAAAGAAAGAGGAAAACGGCTAAAAAAAGAGATATATATAGAGAGTGCATGAACAGTGTCAGATAAATAAAAAGGACACATCCGCACGCACACGTTTACGAATTAGTAAATCCACAACAGCAAGGTCCCCCCTTCTCGCTTGGAGACTTATTCGATCACTTAAAAAAAATATCGGTCACTTAAAAAAAGTTCCCAAAACATTCACAGCCCTACACGGTTTCTGTTTCAAGGTATTATTGACAAATGTGCTGACTTTGGTTTATTGCATGTGCATTACATGCGCTCGTGCACCAACTGCAATGCAGTATGACCAAAACTTTTTAAAATGAGCGTACATCGATCTTAAACTCGGCGTAACCATGCGGTACCTCGTCTTTACTGGCAGAGTCAATCTCAGCCGCCAGCGACTGAAACTTGGGTGTAGCCAGGCAGAGGTTTTTGGCTTCTTGAATGCTCAAGCTGATTATCTGGGCATTGAGATCCTCATTCTGCTCCTTGAGCCTTTGAACGTCCTGCAAAACAAGTTTAGTGCACACAACGTAAGCACATTGATATCCGTGCCGAGGCCTGATAATGAGTCCAATGGTAGCGTGTGTATAGGCTGCCTAGAGGCATGCGCACATGAGCAGTAGGGCAACACGGGAGTGGGGAAGTCGACTTTTTTGTATATACAAACAAGTCGCAGGCTTCTGATTCGTGTATTACTTACTCACGTTACTGACACAAGTAACAGCAGCAAAATTATAGGCTTAATTTGAAGACCCTGCTCTTACAAACGTATGATAAGAGGGCAGAGCAAGGGCACAGTAGTTAGCATGCCATGCTATAAATTTGGTGACCCTGAGTCCAATTCCTGGCCAAGGATGTACGATCAGTGGTGGGCGACATTTGAAGCAATCCTAGTTCACCCCACTGGGTGCCACTTTGACGAGATGTTAACTCCCTCGCCTGGGTTGCAGGAGCCCGTGGGTTCGATCCAAACCCTGATGCCTGTATATTTGTAGTTTGCATGTTTTTCCCGTGGTTCGCGTGGTGTTTTTCTCCGGGTGCTCCGGTTTTTCCCTTCACATTTACAATCAAAATGCGTCTAAAAGTATTTGGTGGCTATAAATTTCCACGTGATAATAAGCCACTTAGTTGAGCTATCATTTGTGGCCAGGTCAAATATGAAAAAGAGCTCTATACCTCAGTTGGCTTCACGAGCTAAAATAAAAAGAGTAGTAGAACTAGGATCACCCAGCACGGTCAAAATTACGGTGAAAAACAACCCCCCATGAACGGCACAACATGGGGAGAGCCCTCATCCAGCAGTGACTGTAACGGTATACGACTGTAAAACTAGTATCATTCATATAACAGAACAAGTAAATTTATATTGGTGGTAATAATAATGTCGCGATAAAGTACAAAGTGTAGATATGGATACTTTTCCCCTATCAAGACTTGCTAACCTCTCGTAGGGTTAGCACATTTTCTTCGCCATGCTATTCATTATTAAAATTATTGTTAAGATATTGGTAAAGAATTGGGATGGGTTGAATTAGTTACAAAGCTTTTCAAATAGTTTTCGTGTGGTCATTGGTGAGAAGGCTGAGACCACGATGATTGTCAACGTTAGAGGGCGATTTTTTTTTAATCCATCTCCTGCAGGAACCTGGGGGCCAGTAGCATAACACTCTTCGGTTACTTTCTTTGAGTTCACACGGACTTAACGTTCCAAACAACGGAATAATATTTCCGAAAGATACGTTACGTAACGGACCGCTGGTGTTTTGATAGACGGAGGAATTCAAGGATGAAACGATAGGGGGCACATGTGGACAAATTGGCATGACAGTGATGACGACGACAGCGTCTTGAGATGTAGTTGCATGCATGCGCTGAATAAATCCGAATTGCATCGTAAGGAGAATGTGATTTACACGCAAGAAAGGTGGAGTGGATGGAAAGAGCAAACTGCTCCTGGGCCACCCCGAGGTCGAGTCAGCCTCACAATTAGTATGTGGTGCGATGTGTAAACATCGCCACTGGGGAGACAAAGGCGGTCAGGCGTCGTCAAGCTGGCCTCCCACCCCATCGTGTGCCGCCGTGCCGGCCTTCACAGGTGCCACTCGCTAACAGCACTTGCCCCAGCAGCCTGTGCCGGCTATACAGGAGACCTTTGTCTTTGTGTGCGTGCATCCGCGTGTCCGTCGCGCACCTGGCGCAGGCGCCGCGCCTCCTGCTCCATGTCGCTGCTGACGGTGCTGACGCTGGGTGTCCGTCGGCGCCCCCCGCGGTCTGCGTCCAGCTTGTATACCTGCAGCACCTCCAGCTCGCGACGCAGCCCCTCGATCATCTGCTCCGACGAGCGGGCAGCAACAACAGCGGCAACTAACGGCGGCGCTGCGAAACGCGCCCCCTTCAACGCGGCGGATGTTGCGGCATCCAAGCGCTTGACGGGCATAGGAGGAGGATTACCCCGATCCCCCCGCCCCCCCCCCCCCCACCGCGGTCACGATCGAGAAATCTAAACTAACACGGGGTTTCAACTTGTCATGTGCCACACACAGCGGTCCGCTCGCCTCTCGAAGAGAGAGGGAACGACTCGGAAGGTGCGAGGGGACCACAGATGAGCGAGAAAGCAGCTACGCGGTGAGCCGGCACCAACAATCAGCGATCATTATTATAATAGTGCCGGGTACTAACCGCTATTATAATATAAGTGGCGTAGCGGTCAGTGAGCTGCGCTACGAACCCATAGTCCCGAGTAGCGATTCTCAATCATGGCCAACACCAGTGACGATTATCTGAACCAGTCCAGGGTCTCCCCTAGCTCGACTCGGCATTAAATGAGTACCTGGCATGATGTGTAAACATCGCTACAGGGGAGACAAAGGCGGCCGGGCATGGGGCTGACCACCCATCCCTCGTGTGCCACAGTGCCGGCCTTCATAGGCGCTCCTCGCTAACAGCACTTGCCCCAACAGTCTGTTGCAGGTTATACGGGGAGGATCTTTGTTCGCATTATTATTATCGTCATTACTACCACTACAAGCCATACCTCCTGTGTAGTGTCTCGCTCGACGTTGTGTTCCTGCTGGGTTCGGTGAAGCCGGTCTGCCAGCTCCTTGCTGTGGCGAGCCTCCTCGCGCAGTCGCGTGCTGCCATCATCCAGGCCCTCAGTCAGCTCCCGGTTCGTCTGAAGAGGAGGAAAAAGGAAGAAGAAAAAGGGAAAAAATAAATGCGAGGGCGGCTCTCTTAGGGCCGGTGACCAAACCCGGCTCCGCACGCCTCCCGGAGTTCTCGTTGGAACGCGGCGGCCGATTCGCGAAATGTGTGCGTGTTTATTAATTGTGCTAGTTATTAAACTTGGTGTTTTGTCGCTTGTCCGTGAACAAAAGTTAAGAGCCACATGAATATCAGAAAGCTTGGCCAATTAACGCAACTAAAATCACACAGATAAAACAATCTTATCTGTGCCTCAATGATGATTTGTTCAGTTAGACTAATACAAGGCCTAAAACTAATCTGTTATTATTGTCAAGGTCTAAGCCAATCACTCTGATTACAAATAGAATCCATTGCATTCCAATAAGCCAATGAGTAGCTTTGACTGTTTTGTGGAATCTAGCGTTTAAAAAAATATATGGCCATTTTATATAAAAAATAAACCTAACTCTTTGAAAAACTAATCAGCAGTCAACAGATAAAAACGTACACTTTGCACGCTTGGTTATCAAAACCGTTATTATTTTCTTGACAAAAAGGCCCCTACAATAAAAACCATGAGGTTGGCACTGCCACGACGAGGGCACGCGGTCCAACGAGCGCGCATAAATCTCACGTCAACAGATCCGCAAACACCCACCACTGTCCCAAGTTCACCCACCACCACCACGCCGCCACCACCAGCAACCAGATGCGTGAATGAAAGAGGCCTTAAAACAGTGCGGCGTAATGGAACGCAAGCCGAGAGAGGTCCAGGGCAAGCCTTACAAAAAAAGGGGCCAACGGTGTGGAGTGGCTGGCACACTTGATCTAATGATTGATGGCATCCCATGCAAATTCACGTTAAATCGTTTGACTTCTCGTGGCCTGCCTGGAAGCCGCAAGAATATGGATTGGCTTTCATTAACCTTCCAGGCTTCTTCCAGTCTCAGCACACACACACACAAAATCGATGCTGCGTGGAAGGTGTGGTGGGTTGGTGCGTGGGGGGTTTTATAAAAAATGAAAGTAGGGCAGTCCAGGAGAATGTTTATAGAGCTATTAAGTTAGTGCCGGCGCTTTTATTTCGGCAATAAGAAGTGGGCTGTGAGAACGCTGATGCTCAGCGCGCGAGGTTCCGCAAAAGGGACGAGGCGCGGGGCCGAGCAGGGAAAATTTGGTTGCCGGACTTGCAGCAAGAGGCAGTGTGGGGGGAAGAGGAAATACGGGGGGGGGGGGGGGGGGGGCTGCTGATGAAATCCGAGACGAAATTACAGCCGGTCTAGCCTATCGTGCCAGCGTATTGTAGTCAAGAGAGCTCAATGGGGGAGGTGGGGAGAGCAGCTGTAGGAATAACAATCCAACACACGCATGGGCTAAGAATAATTTCGGCTCTTACAAGATTCTAAATATCAACCGTGCACATGTATTAATATACCTCGGACAACCCGCATTGACCAGGCTGACGAGGTCGGGTCAAACGACTGCCATAACCGACCCGGTGTGGCGAGGCCCGCATCGGCAGTGCTTTTGACAAAGTCCGGCACATTATTATATACTATATAGATGTATGCATGTTGGAAGTTTTTTCGCACCGTACGTCGCCGACCATGCTAATCGTAGGTGCGGGTTGAAGATGTGGTGCAGTCGTTAGCTCACTACCCTGTGAACCCGTTACCCGGGTTCAATATCCGACCACAGCTAACATCGGTTGAAAGTGATATCTGAACCAATTCAGAGACAGCATGGTGAAGTATCAAGCAGCGGAGAGTAATTGCCAAAGGGCTGTACATTAATGCTTTTTTTTTTTAAGCAGAAGTGATACCTAATCATAGGCAAATGTGCATAAACAGTTTGAGATCACTTCTTACCCAATACATTAGAATTTAAAAATATACGTATTTTACTTTCAATTAATTATATATTTTACGTGGGATAAGTGAAAGCGTGCATCTTACGAGGCATAAACGTGAAAATGGAGATAACAAAAAGAAACACAGGTTAATTTGCAATAAATTCGCTTATAAAAATCATTAATTTTCACAAAGCACTACAAAACAGTACTCTCATCAAACTAATTAAAAGGGTGACAGGGTACAAGCAAAAGGGTGGGACAAAAGGAAACGCATCTCTAGCCTACAATTACCACTTACATCTCCAAATTGTAGGGACAGGCGTCATATTACTGTGTATAAAATTAAGTTGTGCTTAAACAGATTGCAGGCAACAAGATTACTGTGAGCTCAGAGCATCTGATTACCAGGTGGCCACCAGGTGGCGTGATTGACCACCAGATTGTGCCGTTGACCACCAGGTGGCGGATTAACCACCAGATGGCGCAATTGACCACCAGATGGCGCAATTGACCACCAGGTAGTGCGATTGACCACCAGCAATGGCGGAGCCAGGATTTTCAGGTCGGCGGGGGGCAATCCCTCCAGCAATGAAAAATGACAGAAGTTGTTAGTAAGTAAGGACTTTCCCTTGATTCTTATTCGACGCGTGTGCGGCGATGGCGCAGCCATCGATCGAGGGTCGAATTCGAACGGCGTTGTGTGATCGGCATCGCACTCGCTGAAGGTGTTGATGCCTTCAGGGAAGTCGTGTGCTGTATACGCGCACAATTCTGAGTCACTTATAACTGCTTTGTCGTTACTTATTGCCAATTATGGACTCAGACTATTGTACTATCATCTCATAGAGTCCCTGGCACATAATAATATTCTACACAGTGGCAGTGGGGGTCGCAAAATGATTACTAATAAACCCCAATGATCCGATCGAAATTAGGAATTTCGATTGGATCATTGGGGGGGGGGGCACGGGCCCCCACCCCCCCCCCCCCCCCACTGGCTCCACCAGTGACCACCAGGAATCACGCATGTCTGAATGGATTATTTAAAATGCATGAACATTGTATGCAAATGCTTCTTAAGTTGCATTTGTTTTGATTGGCTGACTGAAGCCATACAAACAGGACGGGGAAAATATATGAAACAATACAAACAAGACGGTAAAAGTCACCATAAAAAATGGATCCTGGAATTGAAGCCACGACTACTTTGACGACTGATTGGATAGCTGGGGGAGGGTGTGGAACATCAGGTGACTTCAATCAGATGCGTCTCACTGAAACAGCCCTTCTGGAGAACGTCCACAACTCGGCACTTACGGTCTCCAGCTTCTGTGTTTGGGCCTTCAGGTAAACGACAACTGCTTTTATCTCCTTATTCTCTTCTTCCAGCTGCTGCAACCTGCAGTGAGGCAAATTGGCGACAAAGACGACATCCGTGACGGAGCTCCGCTAAACTAATGCATACATCTACACTCCGCTTCCAAGACGGCACATGAACTTTACATCGGGCACTATTCCATTCATCGATGTCAATTTAACTCTTTTTCTTCCTAAATTACAAAGGTATAATTATGTTTGATAGGTTATTGGGGACTAATGTAGTTGGGCAGCTGTGTGGCCAGACGAGATGGTTCATCCACAACGGTTGGGTTGCATCGTTGGGCTGCATGCTCGAGTGGTTCGGCTCTACAATTTGAAGTTTGTCCTTCCCACACGACCGATTTAGCACGGTCGGCTACGTACGGTGAGAAATAAGTTCAACATACATACAGTATATACAAGTGGCTGGCTATAATGGATCAAGTGGTGTGGTTGAATTTCTCTATGGTCGAGTAGCAGCTGTGCCCGAGGTGGGGGTTTTGCTGCAGGACTTGGCAATATGGCTAACGTGGCTTAGAAGCGGCCATGTCATGTTGGCATGGCCACGCGAGGGTTAGGGCCTGTTAAGGAAATCGCGTGACGTTGCTTTGAACTGTTAATTTGTGACGTTGCTTTGAGCTGTTCATTTGTTCTTTTAAATAAAAATTATCCAGTGTTATTTAGTGGCTGTTTGAATCGTTGTTTGAATTAAAATTGTTCACCTGGTTTTATTTGAAAAGGGGAGATGCTAAAGGAAGTCGCGTGACATGTGCATTACATCATTGCTTTATAGCAGCAGTTGGCCCGACTGGCGTCTCCCGAGCCGCATGCAGCTCTTTAATCCACCACATATGGCTCTATCGAAGGAGCATAACTTTAGAAAATACTATTACAGTAGTAGAAAAGAATAATGAATGAATTCCGTGCTGTGCCGCAAACTATCAAAATATATACACACCTATACAGTGAGGGAAACAAGTATTTGATCCTCTGCTGATTTTGTACATTTGCCCACTGACAAAGAAATGATCAGTCTATAATTTTAATTATAGGTTTATTTGAACAGTGAGAGACAGAATAACAACAAAATCCAGAAAAACGCATGTCAAAAATGTTATGAATTGATTTGCATTTTAATGAGGGAAATAAGTATTTGACCCTCCCTCAATCAGAAATATTTCTGGCTCCCAGGTGTCTTTTATACAGGTAACGAGATTAGGAACACTCTCTTAAAGGGAGTGCTCCTAATCTCAGCTTGTTACCTGTATCAAAAAGACACCTGTCCACAGAAGCAATCAATCAATCAGATTCCAAACTGTCCACCATGGCCAAGACCAAAGAGCTCTCCAAGGATGTCAGGGACAAGATTGTAGACCTACACAAGGCTGGAATTCGCCACAAGACCATTACCAAGCAGCTTGGTGAGAAGGTGACAACAGTTGTGCGATTATTCGCAAATGGAAGAAACACAAAAGAACTGTCAATCTCCCTCGGCCTGGAGCTCCATGCAAGATCTCACCTCGTGGAGTTGCAATGATCATGAGAACGGTGAGCAATCAGCCCAGAACTACACGGGAGGATCTTGTCAATGATCTCAAGGCAGCTGGGACCATAGTCACCAAGAAAACAATTGGTAACACACTACGCCGTGAAGGACTGAAATCTTTCAGCGCCCGCAAGGTCCCCCTGCTCAAGAAAGCACATATACATGCCCGTCTGAAGTTTGCCAATGAGCATCTGAATGATTCAGAGGACAACTGAGTGAAAGTGTTGTGGTCAGATGAGACCAAAATGGAGCTCTTTGGCATCAACTCAACTCGCGGTGTTTGGAGGAGGAGGAATGCTGCCTGTGACCCCAAGAACACCATCCCCACCGATTTAAAGCTTTCGTGACTGCAATGATTCATCTTCTTTGGTTCTTTCGGTAAAGTCACGTAGAATGAGAATAAAATAATAAATTGATAAAATAAAATAACATAACACAATAATATTCTCACGACGTTTCAGCCACAACACAAGCGGCCTTCATCAGGTGAAGGGACGAGACTGTCTGGTAGGACAGCGCTGGAGTGAAAGAGCCACGTTCAGATCGCGACTCTAAGCTTAAACGTCGTGATCTGAACGTGGCTCTTTCACTCCAGCGCTGTCCTACCAGACAGTCTCGTCCCTTCACCTGATGAAGGCCGCTTGTGTTGTGGCCGAAACGTCGTGAAAATATTATTGTGTTATGTTATTTTATTTTATCAATTTATTATTTTATTCTCATTCTACGTGACTTTACCGAAAGAACCAAAGAAGACCATCCCCACCGTCAAACATGGAGGTGACAGGACAACTTTACCGCATCAAAGGGATGATGGACGGGACCATGTACCGTCAAATCTTGGGTGAGAACCTCCTTCCCTCAGCCAGGGCATTGAAAATGGGTTGTGGATGGGTATTCCAGCATGACAATGACCCAAAACCCACGGCCAAGGCAACAAAGGAGTGGCTCAAGAAGAAAATCTGTGGAAGGAGCTGAAAGTTCGAGTTGCCAAACGTCAGCCTCGAAACCTTAATGACTTGGAGAAGATCTGCAAAAAGGAGTGGGCAAAATCCCTCCTGAGATGTGTGCAAACCTGGTGGCCAACTACAAGAAATGTCTGACCTCTGTGATTGCCAACAAGGGTTGTGCCACCAAGTACTAAGTCATGTTTTGCAAAGGGGTCAAATACTTATTTCCCTCATTAAAATGCAAATCAATTTATAACATTTTTGACATGCGTTTTTCTGGATTTTTGTTGTTGTTGTTATTCTGTCTCTCACTGTTAAAATAAACCTACCATTAAAATTATAAACTGATTATTTCTTTGTCAGTGGGCAAACGTACAAAATCAGCAGGGGATCAAATACTTTTTATCCCTCACTGTATATACCCTTGACTCTTTGCAGAAATCACAATTACCTTTTGGCTCTTGGGTGTGTTACAGGTTGGCCACCCCTCCATTACAGCATGACATCATTGTACTGCATGACATCATTGTCTCTGTACATGGCTGCCGATCAAGACACGACGAGTCAGCTAACGTTATTCTTTTAATCTAGAGCAGGGCCGAGCGTTATTAGCAGCGGCGGCGGCGGCGGTACTTGCCTGGTGGCGAGCGCCTCCGTCTGCTCGCCCTTGTCACGCTCGAGCCGCGCCAGCGCGTCGCGGTGGCGCCGCGCGTCCTCCCGTGCGCTCTGCTCAGAGCGAGACTCCTCGTCACGCAGGCGCTCCTCCAGCTCGTGCACCCTGGGGGGGGTGGGGTCACGTCACGCGTGCGAGCGTCAAGGAGGGTTACGTCGGAGGACGCGTGTGGAGCACACAGCTCGAGGGACCATGGAAGAAATCCCGGCTGGTGATCGATCGCGACATCTGGAAGCCTCAGATCAGTAATCTATATATATATAAAAAAGCTAAATTTGTGAATGTGTGTCTTTTCTAAATGTTTAGCATACTTCCCGACATGCAACAAACTTGAAATTTGGCATGTGGGTAGTTTCCAGACTGTACACAATGCAAAAAGTATAAAAATATATTTTTTTTGGGGGGGGTGGGGGGTGCAATAATGGATATATTTTGCACAGCAAGTGAGCGGTGACGTCACATCTGTCATGTCACCCGCATGTGGCAGCGTCACGCAGTGTTGCCTGCTGACGTCACGCATCCCCCCCCCACCAAACCCTCCGCGCAGGCCGTGTATTAATCCAAGACAAAAATTCAAGTCCCAGGCGAAGCCGGGTAGTAAAGCTAGTGTATTACGTATGTATTTTGAACTTCTTTCGCACCGTGCCCAGCCAAACGTGCTAATATTGACTTTCGCGGCCAATATTACGATATATTTTTTTTAGGTCAGATCACCTTTGTAAAATGTGTTGCGTTAGTCACCCTCCTCCACCCGACACTGCCAATTAATAAAGTTGTCACGTGAACAAACATGCAAACATATTAGTGCTTCAGCAGCGGCACCTCTCCAACACACCGGTGTGCTGAACTAGTAACTAAATCGGCACGTTTTGCTTACGTTACAAACCTTACTAATTGGCCATGTCGAGTGATGACGATCTAACCCACAAATGGCCGAAGCTCCCCATAATTACCGGAGGGTGAGCTGCTTGTTCTCCTGCCGGAGCTTCGTGTGCAGGTCCCCACTCTCGGTGGAGTCGTTCTCCAACTCGCAAACCTTTCTCTCCAGAGCATTCAGCTGCACACAAAGGGACGGCGACACGCAGCCACCAACGACGAGAGGAGACGCAGTTCGTTGAGCAAAACCACTTGCTTAGCAAAAAAGTGCAATCAAACAGTACGTCAGTTTAACGCGTTGTAATCACCAGCGAAAGGTCGTACTCAAATTGTAAATGTTGTGGGTTTACTCTCCCAAACATACCAGCGTGCTGAAGTAGCAACTAACTGGCATTTTGTTTACGTGACAAACCGTACTAATTGCCTGTGTCAGCCGGTGGTGGGTTTATGACACATTCATATTAACACGATCTAACCCAAAAACATGTATTACAGGCAGTACGTGTTCTTTTACAAGGACAGCAAGCTTATTATCATTGTAAGTTGTGTACCCCAACACTTGAAAACACCTTAAACAGCTGTTGCAAGTGATTTTTTTATATTTATATTTAATTTTGGCTACTTCTTTAGAATCTAGTTCGAGCTAATATGTTACCACTTGGCATGATTATCTGTAGACAAACCGTGCCCTTGGGTTAGATTGTGTAGTCCGAGCCGTGTACATTACGGTTGACCCTGGATCCACCACTGACCACCTCCTGAAACCCATTGTGTGTGAGATTTCAAACCTCGTGCTGACAGAAATCTCCTAGCTGCAGCGAAATATCTTGAAATTGTATCACTCCGTCAACAAAGAGTCTGGTAAGCCCCAGCTTTGTTGTCAAAGGAGCATTCAGGTTTCCAGCTTGCCAAAACCGTATTCACCTAAAACTTGTTAGGCTTGTTTTGAAACTACTGCACACATGTTCTGCTCAGAGCAATTCGTATGGAAATATATTGGTGGAAGTGGATAGCTTGTAAAATAAAGCAACAGGATTAATTTGCGGTTCTCAATGATGTTTTTAATTAACATCGTCGGTATGCGAGCTTCAAGCCCCGCAACAACTTTTATGTATGTATGTTGACCTTTCGCGCCATACGTAGATAACCGTGCTCATCGGAGGCACGAGGGAAGGACGACAAAACCAAACACAAAAAGCGGTTCCAAACGAGTGAAATTCATCACAAAATTTGCAGGAAAGCGTGGGAGGACGCTCACTTTTTCTGCAATGTCGTTCTCGGCAGGATCTCTGGACTCCACCTCCAGGTTTTCCGTACTGCCGTTGGTGCTGCTCAGGTTGCTAGTTTGTAGCAGGTGCCTGGTGTGGCGTGTCGGATGAGAACAAAATCACGTCAATGGCACCAGCACCGGGAACGTTACTGTGTTCAAAGCGTAAAACACGTCCCATGACCTTTAACTCGGGGGGGGGGGGGGGAAACCTCGACCACATGCAGTGTTCTCAACGTACTCGAGGGCAGGTGGACTTTATTCACGGCGTGACACCAGTTTTATTTATTTATTTACAACGTTAAGAATGACACACATGGACATGCTAATAAAGACAGTTGAGTAATTGCGGGGGCCAATTGTTTTGATAGTAAAAGCCAAGTCCAAGCGTTGACATTGTCAACTGTAAGGAATTATACTGCACTGAGGTTGGAAACTGCGGAAGCAAACACCAACGATGTAATCACGAATTGGGTGTTTTTTATGTTTTTGTACCACTCATAAATGAGATTTTATATAGGTCAGTAAAACCCTTCTTTACCAACACTGATGACGACATATTTTAACATCTCTCTTCACAATTTGAAAAAAAAATCTTCTGTCAATAACACTATGTGGCCTTACAAAAAAAGTATATAATCGACTATGTTTCTTCACAGCACATAGAAGAGACCAGCCGAGTCTTGAGAAGCTGTTTGCTTACCTGGCATAGGCTTTCGACGAGATTCTCCTGTTGGGACTGAAAAAAAAACAGGATACACGTACATTTACAACGCAAGTGTCCTCTAGCGCGTGGTAAAGAGTTTTATTTTGGAGCAAAACTGCCAGTAAGGAACAAAACTACAAATGACTACCGCTTGCTGCACACGCACAAGTCCAGAAACCATAAAAAGCGAACCTGTGATACTTAGACCAAGGTCAGTGATAGACGGCAGGTAGCTGATAAGGAAGTGGACGGACCCCATTGTTCATTCTTCAACTACCAGTTTGGTAATTGTGAACAATTGGGCCGGTAAACCAACATTTGCCGAATAAGAGAGTCTCACATTCTCTAGCCAGACAAAAACCAGCCCACGTCATAAGGTGTCAGTTTAATCGGCCGATTGTTGCCCTCGGGCAGCGTCAAACTGTCTCCAGAGAGATCCCTCAGGACACATCCACATAATGCCACCCCGAGACACAAGGCAGCACGAGGCAATGGTGGTTATACTGCACTGATGATTCCTAACGAGGGTGAAGACCGCACACATTTGCCGCATGAGCATCCTGCCACCGATGTCTAAAATAAACATCGACTCTTCCGAGTTCGTGGCTCTAAAAACAAGGAACGCGTGCGTGCATTGCACACAAAGGACCCGGGGGTCATGAAATTAACGTGCAAGGCATAATGGGAAAACAGATGAAATGGTCAAAACTGTGACTATTTCTCTCCCGAGAAATCACCTTTTGTTTGTAACATCATCATTATTACTCTTAGCCAGACTGGCGCTACCAGTGTGGGTGGGTGGCAGACCTGTTGACTTCCAGCTTGCGCAGTCGAGTGTCCAGGCTGTTCAGCTGATCCATCTTGCGCGCACAACTCAGGCAGTAGTTATGGAGCGCTTCCTGGGTCAGCAGATGGGGATATTTCTTGGGAGAGTTGTTTGCGCTGCAGGAGGGGGGGGGGGGCAAAGGTAAATGTGGGTGCCACGGTGGCGTGATGTTAACTACCTCGCCTGGTATGCAGGAGGTCGTGGGTTCGATCCTGACCCCGATGCCTGAATATTTAGAGTTTCCACGTTATCTCCGTGGTCGTGTGGATTTTTCTCCAGGTCCTCCGGTTTTTCCCCTCCACATTTAAAATGAAATTGCCTTCATTATAAATTTGGCTGCTATAAAATTTCCACACGATGATATGCCCCTTCGTTCAGCTATCATTTGTGGCCAGGTCGCTTCTGAAAAAGAGCGGGCCTTACCGGGTAAAAATAGTTGAGTTTCATCTTCTTGGTTCTTTCGGTAAAGTCACGTAGAAGGGAAACAATAAAATAATAAAAATATAAAACAATACAATTCTCATGACGTTTCGACTGCAACACAAGCAATCATCATCAGGTGTGAAAACCACAGCAAGAAAATTTGAAGAAAGTGAAAGAACCAAGAATATGAATCCCTGCAGTCACGAAAGCTTTAAATCAAAATTTAGTTGAGTTTCAGTTAAATTATTTGTCGAAAGCCGAGGTTGGCGCAGTGATAGCACTCGCACCTCACAGCATGGCTTGGTTCGATTCCCGACTAGGGTTGTTTTTATGTTCTCCATCCTGTTCTGCACGGGTTTCCTTATAGCTCTCTGGTTTACCTCGAACACCCCAATTGGGACAAACATTCTGAAAAAATACCGGAAATTTTACTCAATTGAAATGACATGTCGGGACATCGCCCCCCCCCCCTACCCGACTAAAAAAAAATGTCAGGACCCTACTCGGGAAGAGTCGACACTCTGCAAGGCTTTCCTGGGTAAACTAGCATAGTAGCAAGAGTAACAAATAATTAAAAAAACACATGTACTATCACCAATGGTTCATTGCACAAAGTAGAAGCCTTATCAGCATCATATGGTTAAACGTTCGCGTGCGTGCGAGTGCATAAACTGGATGCCCGTTGCCCAGTGACATTTTGGAAAAAAAATACTTCTTTAGAAGCAAATTATCAGATGCTCATTCAACCAAACTGGGAAACTGAATGCGTTACGATAATGGGGGTTTTTTTACGGCTCATACAAAATGTACTTAATTTCGAAGATTAATTTAAATGCGCTTTAAACACGCTAAAATACAACTTGCTTCGACGACAATAGTTTTTTTTGCTAAATTTCACAGGCAACAGGGCATCGTCCAGTTGACAACATACTCACACACCACACAAACCATTTAACCATTGTGCACAATGCGTTTGTGGGGTAATGCTTGATGTATCCAGAGGTAGATTATTGTGTTGATATCCAGAAACGGATTTGTTAACAATTCTTAGTTAAGATTCACTGGGTTTGAAGACTTTTATTCTTACTGCATACCGTACATCTTTAAACTCACCAGTAACATACATTCATAAACTGTGCCAGAAACTTTACCCAATTGAAGAATCAGAATTACGATCCTTAAAATGTCCCTCTCCGTTCCTTAGCCATCTCCAGTTCGTCTGTCGAGCATTCCTGCTGTCTCAGTACCCCTGTCTCCCAGTCCCCCTGTCTCCCAGTCGCCTTGTCTCTCAGTGCCCCCCTTCTTCCTGCCCCATCTCCCAGTCCCCACCACCTTTCCCAGCTCATTGCCTGACCTCCCTCCCCACCCCACTTCTCTCGGTCCTACTTTCTCGCCGTCCCCACTGTCCCAAGACGGCCCCGTCGTGCGCTAATCCATCTACAGACGGTCGCCATGGCAGCAACCCCCGTTCATATGCGCGCTCGTGCCAACGTGGGTGGCGCGGAAGCCGCTCCCACCAGGGACGCCCTCGAGGGCACAGAAAGCGCGACAAGTCGGGCGGGCGGGAGGGAGCGACGAGCCGAGAGACGAGCGCCGAGACGACAGGGCTAGATGGGGCCACGTGGACACAACAGGGACAAAATATTGAAGAGGAGGAGCGGCAAGAGCAGAACGAGGAAGCAGGCGAACGTTTCTCCCATTGTGCAGCATGGACCCGGGGTCATGAAATTATCAATGGCAACACCGTGGGCGTGTCACAGTGCAGTCTTTCCGTGTGGAAGTCGGGGGGGAGGGGACGAACCCCGGTCGTGTCTCTATTTAATCAGCTCTTTGTTTCGTGCGGAGGAACGCACCACTCTTTGACAATGCGCGCGATATTGTGAGATGTTCTAGAATCGTTTCATTGTTGTTGGCAAGTGCATTTGGTACGACGCTTTAATAAAGTAAATCATATAGTGATTTATGCGCAGACTTGCACTTCAACGTCTGCTAAGTGTTCATTTTGATCAGTAATCCATATGAATTTACCTTGAGAAATCATACAGTAATGTTATTGTTTTTATGTGGCTAAACAGATATTTGAATGGTACACGTTAGATTATTTATTTTGACACTAGATTCACCACAACAACGCTTATTCTTATATTGTTGTGTATTCTTTTGATCAACTAATTTAGAAATATGCTTTGACCAATTCAGCCAATTTTCATTCTACGAACCTGATTCTTTACACGTCTCATACATTCATGTCAAGTCTCAGAACTAGGAGTTCTTGTGAAAGGATGAATGAAAAACAGAAAACACTAAAACAAATCTTCTTGTAAACAAACAACAAATGCTTATAATTAGCACTTGGAAAAACCGAGCATTCTACCTTAGCAGATCAACTCCGCAAAAAAAGATTAGGCTCAACAATGTAAACGAAAACTGTGAGCCAGCGTATAATTTACATATGAATGTCCCTTTTCTCCTATTCTTAACAAGACGTCCATGCTCTGTAATAGTCTTTCTCCCCCACATCAAGGCTAGATTACAGGATTCCAAGCTCTAGCCCAATCATTTGAATAATTAATGCCAATTATAAGCGCAAATGCTACTTTGGTAATGGTGTATTGGATAAAGAGCGTGAAGGCAATCCGCTAATTGGTCAAGATAATCATTAGAATCCTGGAAAGATCGCTAACGTTTGGAATCCCTGCTAATAAAGTTGCAGCCCATTAGGTAAATTTACTCTCCTACTGTTCCACATGGTGTAAACAGTAGCTCCTCAAACCAATCAAACACAGTGTGATGCTAAGATGGACAAACACATCACAGATAAGGATTCGTTTTTTCATTAACGGGTTACCAACAATCCTAAATCATTGCCCTCGTTTTTTGAAATCAGTAAATTCCCATAAGTGAGAGCAAAAGTAAAACCTTGTTGGCTTCTCATCTTGATTCAAACAAAAAGGTGTCAATGTTTAGCCTAAATGCAACAACGGCTCAATTGCAAACAATGGGCACACATTGCCAAATCCATTCGTCTCAGTTGTCTTGTCCACACACCCATTGTTCTACCACAAGGCAGTGCTCATCAACATTACCACCTCTCACAGTCAGCGATGGAAAACTCCAAGTGGCTATTTAAATACAGGATGGGACATCCTATTCTGCATGGTATGTTACAAGCAACATTCACAACGTTATGAATATGAAATGTTGAAGCCCTTAATCCACTGCTGGTGGAAGAGATGCAGGAGAAGGACAACACACTAAAAATGAAAAAGCAGTTCTAAAGGAATGAGCTTTCAATGAAGATTTAAAAGTGCATAGCTCCAGTGGCTTCCTAATATCGAAAGGGAGAGCGCTCCAGACGGCCGCAGAAGCACATCCAAAAGCGCGCGATGCAGTATTATGTATTACGTAGCCAACCGTTGCGTTGACCCCGTCTTTGTTCGACGGCTATCCAAAAGCCGCCGCCGCTGCTGCGAGGATGACCGGAGTCTCGTGCGATGATGGTTTATGCTCCCTGACGAGACCGGCAAGGTAACTATAGTGGTTTCGCTCGCGGCGAGAGTTTCGTGCGCGTGCAAATGAGCGCGACCCCTCATTGTGCAATACCTGGACGGCAGCGAGGAAGCGCTGTTCTGCGCGGCTTCCCCCGGCAGCTCGCCGGCGCTCCCCTCCGTCAGGTCGGTCTCGTCGCCCTCGCCGTAATCCTCAAACTCCTCCTCGGCACTCATGAGGGAGAGCGCCGACAGCGTCGACACGTTCGACACCAGCGACAAGTTGTGCTGGTGCGTCCTGCGGGCGGTGCGGATTTTACAATGCATCAGCTGTTCAGCTCGCACCAGCCTCTGTTGCGCAAGCGCGGGGGGGCTTCCTTAATTGCCCGTGAAAAAAACAATGTCTACATATGGATGTACGTTGAACTTCTTTCGCGCCGTACGTAGCCAACTGTGCTAATCGGGAGGTTCGGGGTGGGGGGGACAACAAGCTAAACAAAAAATGCACGCCGAACTGTACTTTGGTAACACTTTCTCTGCCTCACAGAGAGGAGGGGCCTGGGTTTGATTCCTGACCGTCTTTGTGGGGGTGTATGTTCTCCCCCCCAGTTCTGCATGGGTTTCCTCCCATAGCTAAAACACCATACAACGTAACAACCGGCGTCGGCCAAAGATCCCAATGCTGAAAAATGACCTGAAAATTACTCAATTTGGATTACACATTGGGACATCGCCCCCTAGTGAAAAAAAAAACTTGCCAGGAACCTCCTGGAAAAAGAGCTTTGAGACTTGGTGAGGCCTTCCTGGGTAAAACAAGCATAATCATTACGCATTATAATGGTCTTCATCAAACTTGTGATGAGGACAATAATCCCCTTGTAGTCAAAACTACTCGGTTATTAACTCATAGACTGCTATGCCCCCAACTTTCTGTCATGAGCATCCATACTCCCACCAGATGGTCCAATTTGGGTCCACGAGCCTAATTTTGGAAAATTAATACAACATCTTGAGATGCAGTTGGGTTCAGATATCATGTACATTTTAGCCGCTTTTGTAACTGCAATCCACACATTGTCGGTAGGGCCTAAACTCAACCAATTACAAAACATGTGGTGATGCTGCAAGGACATATAACAAAAAAGAACCTCAGCAAACCTGTTAATGACACTTCCATAAAATGAAAAAAAATATATAACTAGCTTTACTACCCGGCTTCGCCCGTGACTTGGATTCTTGTCTTGGATTAATACACGGCCTACGCGGAGGGTTTGGGGGAGGGGGATGCGTGACGTCAGCTGGCACACTGCGTAACGATGCCACATGCGGGTGACATCACAGATGTGACGTTACCGCTCACTTGCCATGCAATATATTATATCCATTATTGCCACACCCCGCCCCGCCCCGCCAAAATACAAAAGTCTATTTTTATACTTTTTGCATTCTGTACAGAAGGGAAGCTACCTACATGCCAAATTCCAAGTGTGTTGCATGTTGGAAAGTATGCTCAACATTTCGAACAGACACACATATTCACAAATTTCCCTTTTATATATATAGGTGATGTTTCAGGCAATGAGCTATTGCCCCGATATATATATTTCCTTTTAGGAGCAGTATGATCAACTGATACAAGTGAGCAAAGATGCAGCACTTTATGGTAAGGATCGAGAGAGAAAAAAATTGGACGCGACAATCAGGTTAGAATATTCGGTTACAATCTGTGTTGCCGACATGAAATCTGGAGTCGTAGAAAATCCTGCACAAGCACTTTGTTGATGAACCACCCATTGAAGAGCCACAATTTTCAAACACGTTGAATTTCTATCACGCAATTATGAAATACAATACGTGGCTATAATGCAAGGTTTGACAGCATCATATAAAAAGAAACACAACACCCATTAAGCCTCACAGTAGATTGTAAGCCTATACAATACATACGGAAGACAGCAACATAGACAAAAGTAATTCATGTGGATGATTGCGCAAAGTATATTAAAATTACATTACTGGAGTAAAGTACTATAGATTAACAACAACAAAACTATCTACAAATTAGCAATTACTTTGAGGTGTGCAATTTAAAATTACAAATGTAGTGAAATTACACGTTTAAATGACATGAAATTTAGATGACGTCCATATGTGCAGTGCGCACCCACCCACTACTTTTGAAATAGTAGGTAAGGAAGATGTATGTGATGGACCTGTGTTCAGCAAAAACACTAAAATATGTCTATAAAACTTAGTGGTTTCTCAATTCACTGGCAGCAGCCACATCCGTCAAAGGGGTGGGGGAATGATGGAGGAACATAATGGTCAAATTTTGAGCTAAGTGGCAAATCTCCCACCATCAGTGTGAGCGCAACAGGTAAGTCAGTCACAAAGGAGGCTAATATACCCCCCCCCCCGCAGAGAGTATACGATCTTAAAATACCTGGTTTATTCTTTTTCCATGACAGATACGTGGAAAATGTTCAAAGCCAAATCTCTGTGGCACGCCACCCTCTACAAAAACAGGCAGTCATGCCAGCAGACACAGGAGACACTGCAGCCCAACCACAACAGTGACTGTAACGACAAAAACAACTTAAGCTATCGCAACCAATGCAATGGTCCATGTAAGTTTGTGGATTGGGCCACACGGTATGTTTATGCCAACAACTTCACGTCGCATTTTGCCTTCTATCACACAAGAAGACTGCCGCGTTCACAAAGATATTGTTTGCACATTGCCAATGTCCTTGGCATATTCTGACCAATTAAAACTACCCCTCGCCGAAGGCTTACGACTTTTCGAGACCGCATTCAAAATGAACAGTTTATTTAAACTGCTTTTTGAGCGCCCAAAGTTTGATCCACACATGGGCACGTGTAAATAATAGCTTTGCGAACGCGATCATACTCTTGTGGCTATGGTGAAGGATACATAAGGAATTAGCCATGAAACTACCACCACTGTGGCCTCACCTGAAAACCAATAATGATTCAGTGATACACGAGTTAAAACTGTAGATGCCAAAGCCATCCACCCTCTTCGTCAGTATTTGAGCTCACGACACAGGCATCGTCAAATCGCGCACGTAACAATCGAGGCTTTTTAATTCGTGACGAGTATGTTGAAATGGGTTCAAGGACCCAACTAGGCACTGGAGGCTGCTACAGTCACCACAAATTTGGACGATTTGCGAGGGGCGGGGTTGTTGCAAGCATTTGATTGCCACCCCCACTGATGCATGCATTTAAAAGCTCTCCCACAAGCAGTGCCGATAATTGTTCACATTAAGTAAAAAAAAATACCCAAATTACTCGAGCTCTCAGATGTTACTAACAAACAAGGTCTTCAATATCCTACCACGAGGGCCAATGATATCTGTCCTTTGGAGAATGACGAGTCCATTTTTTTAAATGCCAATGAGAAGGCAAACTTTTTTCATTGACAGCGCATGACTACCTGGGAGGAGGAGCGCGCTAATGAGCGGGGGGAGAAGTATGGGATGGGAAAAATGCTGGGGTATCCTAGTCAGAAGCACAAGCAATTGTTTTAGCTTTCACTGTGAATAACTCATTAAAAAGGCTCACAAATTCCTTCCTTCCAGTAACAGGCAACCTAATTCACATTGACATGTAGGTAATCATGCGCACGACTGCACATTCAAATTAGAAGAGATTAAATCATAGGGTTCAAGTATATTTTGTTTAACCAGGTGAGAGCTCAAAAGACCAGGAACAGTCTCAGGTGAACATGGGGTGGGAAATTACCATCAACAATTGATAGCCAGGGCGCCACGCTGGTGAGATGTAAACTCCCTTGCCTGGATACAGGAGTAAGGGGGTTCAATCCTGACCCTAACGATGCCTATATATTTGGAGTTTGCATATTCTCCCTGCCATCGCGTGGATTCTTCTCCGGGTCCTCTGGTTTTTACCCCCACATTTAGAATCAGCACGCATTTAGAGTATTTGGCTGCGATAAATTTCCACGTGATAAGCCACTTCGTTGAGCTATCATTTGTGGCCAGATCGCTTCTGAAAAAGAGCTATACAGCTCAGTGGGCCTTACCTGGCAAAATAAAAAACAGTTTTTAGTTTACAAGTTAAGTACGATTTAATCCGCGTGTGTGTAACTTCACCCTTTAACGTCTAAATAAATGCGGGAGTTTTCATGTTTAGCTTTAAACTCCACCAAACTTACAGAATTTCTCATAACAAGTTGCATTTGCTGTAGATCATGTAATTTCGGGGTTTTTTTTGGCTTTCGTAATATTTGTTGACTCGGGTTACTCTTGTAGGCGAGACGATCCTTTGTCTTTCGATTTCTCAACTGGTGAAATAGAATGAACGGTGACTTGATACAAACGGATACTGTATCAAGGGAATAGGAGGAGGAGCATTCAGTACAATTGGGGAAATCCCCTTGCTTTGCAATGTCTGTTAACAATTAAGGACTTAAATGCTAATCTAAAATCCTCAGTAATGTTTGGATTTGTTTGGAATGCTTTCTAAAGCGCTTATGCACACGTGTATGGAACCCGATTGACTTAAGTTTAAAACAACTTGGCTAGCTTTGGTACACACTTGCAGTGATTTCATCATTACTGATGGCATCGTTACTGCGCAATAGATTGTGTCACAGGTTGCTCATCCATTACATAAGGATGTCAATTACTGTTGAAAGGGCTCAGATGTACTGGTTTTAAACTGTGTTTAAATTAGGCTGCAAGAAGACAGGTGGGTTAGATCTAATGGCAGTGTTCACTCAGCCAAAGTACACTGTATTGCTCTAAAGAGAACATTAAAGACTCAATGACACGACTTATCACAGCAGACTACTGTCCAAATGTCAACTCTGAAAACTACCCACAATGATGAAATTTGAAAACACAAAACACTTCCCCAATGTGGGAGCTGAGCTTCTCCAAAAAACACGATGCATGATCCCAATAAAACTACCAACAACTTTAAAATGAAATCACACCTCGGATGTTGCGCAAGCCATTATAAGCAGTGCTCGCATTGGCACTGCTAAGTGTTTCGTCTTTTTGCAACAATAACTGTGGGGTTGAGCAGTGGCATTCGTGGTTGGCGCAAACACGGTGCTATAAACCCAAGCAGGGGAGAATTCACTGCAGTGGAGAGCGATATATGAACCCGTTCCGGGTCTATCCTTCACCGATGCAAACCGAGCCAGCACGGTGAAGTATGGTCAAAGCACCCCAATGACCGACACAGCATCTCGGCATGATCGGCGAGGGGGGAGACCTTCATCCAACAGTGGATTGACCATGGTCGGCAATGACAGTGACGATGACGGGTGGCCATTCATGTTAAACCCGCTAATCCTTTGCCAAACCGTGAGGTGCAGCAGCACCATTCATGGGCAAGTTGCAGCAGCACTGATGTAAAATTCCGAGGAACGAATTTCAAGGAAAACCCCAAGGGGGCCAAAATCTCTCAACGGGTTGGGGAGGGGGGGCTGACACACTCGCGTGTGCTACTGCAAAAAGGGATAGAGAGCGCAGGGAGAGATCAAGAGCTCATGCAATCCCAAGCCACCGCACCGCAAAAACCCAATCGGAATGCATGTGCCGGCGGCAAAAGTGCGAACTGGGTGAAAGTACTGTATGGCGTTATCTCTCTGAAAATAATAACAAAAAATAAGCAAAAGTGAAATACATATTCGTCCCATGTCTTTTTTTTCAAAGAGTTTTTCTTTTTAAATCGCATGTTTTCTCGAACGAAAATATGTATACGTCCGATGTAATGAAATCTCTGAAAGGTAAATATGCGTTCGTCTTTTTTGTTGTTCTTGTTACAAATATATGTGCGCAGGCAGCCAGCCAGGCAGCCAGCTGGGTAGGGGCATCTTCTGTAAATAAATCAGGGCAAGCGTGAAAGCCACCAGGGAAAAGAAAAACACAATCGTGCACACCTGCTCAAGCTCAGCCAAGTGGCGTCGGAACAGCGCCCCCCCCCCCCCTCTCTACAAGATCCTAGCGTTAAGCGAGAAGGGGGGGTGAATGTGAGATGAGCCGTACACAGCTGGAAACATTTAATCTAGGTGTGAAAGCACAGTCCCCCCCCCCCCCCCAATCCAGCTTCGATGACACGCTCACACCGACTCATTTACTCTGGCTGGCTCCAAGACGCTTCTGTGCGAGACATACACGACGTTTCTCGATGTGCGAGCCCTCTTCTAAGCTATGCTATACTTCAGTCGAGTCATCATTGAGGCTTCTCTATGAAGCTCCTCGTATGTATAATGAGGTTTCCGTATGAAACTCTGCAACGTGGATCCTCTATGAAGCTTATGGATGAGACGTGCATGAGGGTTCTCAATGTAGAGCCCTTTCCAAAGGCTTTAAACTTCTGCATTATATTCATCACTGTGGCTTCCTAACGAAACTCTTCAATGTAAATCCTCTGAGGCTTCTCTAAGTTATACTCATATTTCCCTATGAAATCCATCATTCAAGCTCCTGTTATAAAGATTGTGTACGCGGCTTCCTTGCAAGACTATTCCATGTGGAACCTCTGAAGCTTCTGCTTAAAGCACCGCCATTAAGTTTCTTCTTGAGACTTCAAAGTGGAGCATTGATCCGACGCTTCTCTAGAAGGCTCAGAAATTATTCTATTCGACTAAGCATTGCATCCGTAAAATCAGTTGTCTGCACGCAGAGTTAAAATGCTTCCACCAAATGGGTTGGTGGAATTGTCATGCAGAGATTACGAAACTTAACTGTACCACTCTGGTTATCCACATGAGACCAATGATGCACCACAGGTACGTTGCGTCAAGGGTCTATTGCACAACACAAGGCACAATGACAGGAGGTTGAGATGGCATTTGAAACGAATTGTGCCTTTAGCAGGTAGGGTGTGGCCAGCCACCATGCAGTGTTGTACTTTACTTGAGAAACAATCGCCTAAAACATGTTTGGGCACCTGAATCACATCACCCACAATCGGGTCCACCTTTTCCGGCCGTTTCAAGAGCCAATCTCACGACCCCAATGGCATCCACATCAGCCCAACTGATAAGGCTAACAAGTAAGCTGTAGATATTTTCCCTGCAAAATAATGTCGTTCCTGGCCCAACCAATATAATAGACGCCCTAAAAAGCTTGCATATACAGCACACACACACACACCCCCAACGGTCTTAAGCATGCAGCTGCTTTTGTAAAAGATAATAACGAGGGACAACTACCAGCTGGAGGGATCACACCAACAATCAGCATCTTATTTGAAACCTTGCCCTTGCTTTTAAAAATAACATTGTTGTCAGCTGTCTGAATAATGTATACCAATAGAAGCACGGAATGGAACTCATGTTGTAAGAAATATATATTGAAGAGGCCAGCTGATATAACTTGGACATTTTCCTACATCTGCTCAGAGAGAAAACACATATCCTATTAATCCTATGCACTGTCATCTCTAGGATAAATATCCCAATAATCATCTTGAGAAGGAAGCTTTTTAAGTGACTGGTTGGCTCATACTATTAGTTTGAAGTGATAGGACGTCTGGATATTTTAAGCATTCGTTTTCACAAATGTGTGACAGCGTGACTCAGTCCCATTAAAATGACATGGAGCAACCAACTGTATATTTATCCTGGGCGTGTGCACAGAGAGGCCTTAGCCATTGGATAAAGTCCAAATAAGTGGAACGGGTTTATTGTTGCTGTTTTCACTCGTGCTATATCGAGCTTGTTGTTGTTGTTGTTGTGTTTGGCCTTTACTAGATTCAGTTTCAGTTTCATTTATGTGAGCCATTCGACTCTTGAATCGGGTGCAACCGCAACAAACAAAAAAACAAGCAATAAAATACAACAAAGGAAATAATGCATGTTTGCATACTTTTTTTTACATTTACCATTGGTTGGTAGATGAACATGTTACACCAGTTATGACACGCACGAGCAATCATCAAGTTTTTATGTTAATGGAAACTATACCTCAATGACCGTTGCCTTTAATTATAAAATTATGCTCCGCTTTACTTGTTTCTATACCGTACATGTTTATGTACAACAACCATTTTGTCAATCCACTGCTGGATGAGGGCCTCCCATTGGCGTGCGGGTCATGGGGGTTATTTGACCCTACTTAACCACGCTAGTCAGTGCGAGTTGAATGTGAACAGCATAGACGCTTGAGCATAGCAACGTAGTCCCACAGTCTATAGCGCCCGTTACGCATGTTGGTCACACGTGAAAGCACTATCTTGTGTCAATGCCACAAAGCTGTTGGGATCCGACGACATCTGGAGCATTCCAGATTATTTGGTGGCAGGCATGGTGTTGTGAAAAAATAATTTAAATGAAGCTAAACTAGTACAAAGTACAGACATTTTCTTGGCATTGCTCTACGCTACCATCTCGAAACTCCCGCCTAGTTGCTCGCTAGGGCCCGGGCGAAAGCCAGAGAGATTACGGAGGTAGAGACCGCAAACCCAGGTGCTCACTTCTTGCGCCCGTCGGGCAGGAACATGCTGCTGTTCCTCGCGTCCTCGGGCGCCGCGGCCTCCGAACTGCCCATGGTGTCGATGGCACTGTCGCTCTCTCCCTCGTCCTGCGTGTCGGCAGTGAGTAGCAGTAGAGGGCCTGCTCCCCAGGTCGGACGCGTCTCCATCTCCCCGTACATGATGGCGCTGGCGTTGTTGGCGGGAGGGCGACCAGGACGCATGTGACGCTGCCGCAGAGCTACGGCTGCACGTGGGAAGGCGCAGGGGATAGAAGAGAACAGAGGAGGCATGGGCATCGGCAACCGGTTACCGACGCAGCAAACGTGGCAGAGAAACCCTGAGCAGCTCAAACGCAGCAAGAGCCTCCCGATGATACCTGGAATCTACGCACGCCGGCAAACACACATGCTCCTCTCTGGGTAGAGGTGGGGATGTGTATGTAAATGTGTATTACGTATGTGCCACTGCTTCATGCGATAAAACTGAACGAGTGGAAAAATAGACTCGGATATAAGAGTACATCCGAAAATAGATCGTGCCTGGACCGACCAAATGAGCCAGCCCAATTAAAATAAAAAAGCGTCTTGTGTTTTGTTTACTGTTGTACCCGCTGCAGGAGTCCCACTATTCGTGTGCATGTGCCCAGGAGTGGGGACCGACGGCACAGTGGCGACATTGTGCGCGTCTCACTCCCCACCAACCCCCACCCCCGAGTAGGGCGCCCGTTGTTCAATGCGCGCGTTGACACAGAAGGCAGGTGAAACGGCGAGCGCCAGTCGCTTTCCGCAGTCGTTGCGAGGGCGTCTCGCATTACGGTGTCCCCATGACGAGGTTCGGTTTCGAGGATGAGATCACCTTGGTTACAACACCACACCATGCACAAGCGAGCAAAGACCTCGTACAGTTTTAACAACACGCCCATGGGGGGAAAAAGGGACATCACTGCTCGAATTAATCTCACCGCAATTAGTTTTTTACGAGTTTTTTATGAACGCATAGGTTTACACATCGTTTGTATAGCCAGGGCAAAACGCAAATATACTCCGGTGGTTAGCTTTAATTTATAGGCTACCTTTGAAGACTGAATGAAACAATCAAATCGGCCAGGTGGAACCACTGGCTTGACAGCTTTGATGGAATGTAAGGCACACCTTATTGCAAGTGCCAGGCTGGCTCACACTGAACCTCGAAAACACCCGCACCACCACATTCACCACTGGCAACAGTTGGGACGGACGGCTGTGGGCACTCTGGGTAGCACTTGGCGAGGTATGCGCTGACTCATCCACTCTGGATTAACGATGGTGGGCTGGAAAATATGCAAAAGCAAACTAAAGCTGCCAAAAGTGCAACATCAAACATTTATGTATGCCCAAACTACTCACTGTATAAGTCGGGTTTGCCGAACCTGCGTTTCACCGTATGCAAAGCGTGATCCAAAAATAGCATAGAGGTCATTGTCACACTGGTCTTTGCTGCTCTTATTGGGAATGGTATCAAGAAACTTACGACAGCTGTTCTGCAGTCAGACGTAAAAACACGGGCTCGGCCAATGTCAGATTCTAAACACAGAAACGAGACCACGAGATCGTTGAGAGACATTTATAATTAGCAAGTACTTTGTTAAATCCTGCCTGGCATGACGGTTTCAGATCAGGGAGTCATTTTCTGTAATATCAAACCACAGCATCACCAAAGCTTACGTTATGAATAGCCAAGAATTTAATGTGGTCTTGCACCAGAGGCGATATGGAAATATTTACCGCTGAAAGTTTTTTTCAAAAAAAGTATCATTTGTTACTGCTTTTTTTCAGCCTAAGCAAGACTGTTGCAAAACAAGGTATAAGAGTTTTACCAGAGCTAGTTCATAAAAGAAGAATAATAATAATAAGTTAACGTAACAGTAACTATTTATTTACCCAGGAAAGTCTCAAGTGAATATTAATATAGGGCAGTGATCTTTTTCAGGAGAATCCTGCTTGAAATGTTTGAGCAATTCCCACTCAATAGATTTGTTCCATGGGGAGGAAACTGAAGTATCCAGAAAGAAAGAAAAATCGGTAAGACAGAAAAACATTTCAAATCTGTAGAGACAAATTAAAAGGGAGTTTTACTTTACGAGTCTATTTTGTCCTGCTTCCTTAAGAGTTGGCTCGTGGCAAAGAAAAATAAAGGCAAGCAACAAACATAAGACTTCACAGAAATTATCTGACACGTCAATGAGTTTTAAAAATCATTTGCTTGTGCAAAACAGCTAAGGGTTTTTGCAGCACAGAAGATGAATTTGACAAGATACTTGTTTTTGTGTTTTTTTAAGGGACTCTGGGTTGTAGAGAATGCACAAATCGTGTCAACAGGTCGAGTCAGTCTCCCTCCCCCTTCGGTTTTATGATATGTGCACGTTCGTGTGTGTGTGCGCAGCCAGAAAAAAAACGCTGAGACTTTGAGAATAGTTCAGGTTGTTTGGACAGGCTCTCTGATAGTCAGGAAATATCTGTAGGCAGGGCACAAACCGAGCATTATCAGCCAGCCACCAGTTTCCTGCCACTTACTGTCATTCCAGTTCGAGCCAACTTTAGTTTGACACAGCCCAAACATAAACATTCCCTTCTGGGCCCTGCCTTTTCGCTTGTATCTTTGCCCAATGTTCGCAAAAGGTCACGATGCATTTTATTAAATGTTGATGCCTTTAAAACAGATTAATTCAAACTGGATGTTTTTTTTCAAGCCGGTATACTCTGCAATCACACTACTCTTCAATCACACCACACATCCTCACGCAAAAAAGCAAATCAGTACAACGCAGGCTTAATTTAAAAACACAGTTCTTTAAAGAAAAGTGACAGCGTTTGAATTAATCAGCCAGAAACCACATTGCACTGGTGGAACAGAAACAGAGCGTGCATGTCTTTCCAACTTTTTTTGTCCACATTACCTCTTAAAACTCCCGCAGCCGCACAAGGGCCTATGAAAGCAGGCACCCTGCGAACAATCCTTACCCAGCTGAGACGCCCAATCCCCCCGCATCAACCGGGACGTGTGGGTAAACAGACGCCCTTGGCAAGCCATGGCAATTACTGAACATAGACTGCACGATCGGTCGCCCTTACCCCTGGCTCTCTCTTTCCCTCGCTTGCTTTATATTACACCAGCCTCAAAGAGCGGAGCTGTTTTTTTAAAGAGCCCGCGTTTTTTTTTAAATATCCAATGCTGTGAGAGTGAGGCATTGGCTTAATGTCTCGGCATGTATGACTCACCTAGATACCTATATCTAAACGTCATGAAGTTATCCATTTAGTCCTTTTTTTTAGAAACAACGGTCATCAATTATGCATGTGTCATTTACACAGCAGCACAACTATGCAAAATGGCTAACACCACTGTGTCTTCACCACCAAGATCCAAAAAGTGTGTATCTTGATAAGACATCTGACATCAACAAAAGAGGGTTCAACTTACAGTTGTTGCTGTGAGGTGACAAAAGCAGGTGTTTTTGAATTATGATATTGGTTTTAAAGGTCAAACCAGTTACTTCAAATCAACTTGGCATAACATAGAATAATAATTTACAACCTTTTTGTCAATACTTTACAGGGTGGTTCAGATGTCGTGACCCCCCATTTAAGTCTGTAAAACGTCTTTTATTTAATTACGGTTTCTTTAAAATAGAAATGAATATGCAGAGGGAAAAACCGTCAGGGGTCAATAAATTGGGGGGAGTCACAATACATCTGGACTGCCCTATACACTGATGGATGGTAGCCTTCCCACACCGTGTCGGTCATGGGGGTTTCTTGACCATACTTGACCGTGCTGGTCAGTCCAGGTTCGTGACAGGGCGGGGGTGGCAGGACCAGTTTAAATCGCGCTCGCCGCTGATGTTAGCCATGGATAAGAGTCAAGCCGAGGTCACTCGTTTCATCGCGCCTAGTGAGCTAACCACTGCAACACGGCTACCCCACCACAACCTTACGGAACTGTACTCGCCATGCAACTGGAATATGTTGTGCACGACGGTGGTTGAGGTGGGAAAAAAAAGCTTACAGCCACCCACCCTCGATTTTTGCCACGCAACTGTAAAGCGATGCTATTAACTTTGGTCAGAGATTGGCAGCAGTGGGCTAGATCTTCACGCATGCCTTAACTCCACCCAACGCATTAAACCCTGGGGAAATAGGTTGCCAGTATGTACAAAATAAAAAAAAACTTTACAAGGTGGGGTGTGCATAGACATTAATGCACGAATTCCCAATCCAGCCTGTAACACGACTCCTCTAAACTGGGATGTCCTGTTCTAAGGCTCAAGAGTTGCACAGTGGGGGAGTACAATGGTGCTTTGAATTGCATATGTCTTCCTGTGTTTGCAATTTGGAGTTAAATATTTTATACACACACACACATATGCAGGCACATTGTAAAGGTAATTGCAGTGCTTAATTGGTTTCTTTGGTGGAAATGTGATGTTTGCGTAACCTTATATAAGGAACTGGTTTCGCAGTGTTTTACAAGCACAAATCAGGGTGGGAGCAGGTTACGTTTGTTATTAACATTGCAGTAGACGTACACAATAGGCAAAGGTTATGGGCAAGGGCCATCCTTAAGCTGCTCTGAAATAGGTCCATTGACTGAAACGTTAACCGACTCAAATATATATTTATGTTATGAAGGCAGTGGTAATAAACGCGGTTTGTTTTTAGCATACGTACTCGGCATACGTACTCGACAGTAACATAAGTGCTCCAGTGGGAAAAGCAACCTCCCATAACGATAGAAATGTATCAGTTGAATCATCACTTCTTATGACTCGCTGAACAATTATTTCACATTAGTTTATTTATAGGAAATGAAGCGGTAAAATGTTAAATAGTGTATACTCGGCCAACACATTTGAGTAATTACTGTGTATAAAGTTTGTATAACTCATCTATTAATGCAGAATAACTATGATTGCTTCAATACGCAACGCCGGCGTTAATTATTGCACTGGTATTTACGTATCCCATTGATTACAACAGAATGTGTCCACAGAGTGCACAGTCGTTGAGAAGTACTACAGCTTGTTCTGGATAACATAAAAAATAAACTCAACATTGTGTTTTCTCTTCCCCAGCTATCACGTATCACGGGCCCCCCTTTGATGTCTAATGCTGCCCCTTTAGCCATCAGAGACTCGGGGTCACCCGGGATCATAGCTGGGGATTACATTAGCATGTGTCCTGGAGGGCAGGAGACTTTTAAAAAAAGTAACTTTGAGGATGAGGGTGATGATAAGCCAAAGCAATTAGCACGTATACATTGATGTAAACACAAGACACTCAGTCACTAGATCAAGGCGTGGGTAAATTGGGTTAATTCCCCTTCCGTCTAAGTTTGGGAAAGGGAAAAATGTGTTTCTGTCTTTAGTTACAGCCCATGAAGGCTGGTGGTAACTGTACCAAATGGCCAGCTCTTCCATACATAACTAGATCAACTGAAATGACCAAACGACCTTCATGACCAAGGTGGCCAAAACTGAAATAATTATTTAATACAGTAGTGCGTTTATAATATTGTACGTACACAATCCATCATTGTTTGGGTACAGTATTGTGTAAATTCCATCGCTAACGCGCACCGACCACAGTGGTGAAGTATGGTCAAAAAACATCCACGACTGGCACGGCGTGGGGGGGATGGAGGGAGGCCCTCACCCATGCAGTGGATCGACGAAATCAATGGCATTGTAATTGAGGGCACTTGAAAAGAAAGAAAACATCATTTGTGGGAAGTATTAACGTGAGATTTGAGATCAGTAATGTTATTTGCCTAAATGAGATGAGCACACGTCATTGTGTGATGTCACATTCAAGCGTCTCCACACTTGAAACTACTCCCAGCCTCAATGGCAACAACAATTGCTGTATAAAAATCAAAACAATAGCCATAACGATAATACATCGCTATAATAGGGCCCCCAATATTGTTTATTTTTGGAACACACCAGAAATATGTATTACCCATCAGAATGGGACCACAAAACTCCGTGGGTAGAAAAAAAAATCACGAAAAAGTATCATCTTCCATCGCATGCCATTCTCTCTCCACTGCTGACTTCTAGCCCTTCTCCCCACTCGGATGATGATGCCCTCACAGCAGCAGCACCGGCTACTACTACAGGCTGGTCCAGATATCTTGTAACCCCCATTTAATTATCTAAAACGTTAAAGTGTATCTAAAACATAAATAAATATGCAAAGGAATAAATACATCGGGGTCAATTAAATTGGGGGGGGCGGGGGTCACAAGACATCTGGACCCCCACTGGTACAGTACGAGTTAATCCTCTGCGCTGTCAACTTTTACCAAAGTTTAAACACAACAGCACATTCACACTGCGCTTTCGTTTGGCTTTCAATTAATATACCTTTTTTACTTCATTTTTTACAAACTACAGTACACGGGGAAAGCACTGCAGTACAGTACTACAAGTACTGTCGTGCAACAGGAGAGGCAAAGCCCTACCCCCCATCAATCAGCGCAAACATCGTCACCCCAGGAGCCGCATTCACAACACAGTGACACGTTAACAAACGTAGCCACACGGACAATGAAACACATCATCACCACCACCACTACCACCACGATAGCCGTGGTCAATCCACTGCTGGATGATGCCCCTTTTCCAAGCCGTCATCCCTCACGAGCCTCCGATGCAGCTATCCACTCCGACGATACATCATCACCGTCGTCAACATCATCACCGAGCCATGGTTAATTCACTGCTGGACGATTAAAGACTTGCTCCTGCGATGTAGCCAGTCGTGAGCCATCATTATACTCCCCAATGAAATATTCCACGCGCTCACTCACCTCAATGAAACGGCGACGACGTCTCCTCCCTCAACAATGACAGCAGCAGCAAGCACCAGCCGTGAAGCGATCTTCTTTTCTGAACCTCCGTCTCCCAACCCTCTCCGCCCTACCCACGCCACCCCTCTCGTCGTGTCTCTCCACCACCGATCGATGGGTAAAACACCTCGAATGGGGTCGACACGCGCCACCACCACCAACAACAACACAACAGGGAGCGCAACTGCTTCCTCCTTCCCTCCTGGCCTTCCCCCACCCCCCACCACCACCACCCGGCTCCTCTGCCCGAGTGAGCAGGGAAAAACAAGTGAAACTTAACGCAAGAGGGGGGGGGGGAAGAGGAGAGGCCAGGTGATTGTGTACCCACACCCCCCCTCCCCACACTGCAGCTCGCGTAAGTTACGTTGGCCGTGTTAAACCACGACACCTCAATACTCGCTGGCTTTTAGGGGGCTCCCGAGTTGTGCGACGATCCCTCTCTGCCCCGTCCGCTGTTCTCTTCAGGTTCCCTTCCCTCCTTCCCTCCCTCCCTCCTCCTCCTTCTCACCTCACTCTACCCCCCCCCCCCCCCCACTCGGCAACCAACCCCACCTCCCGCTTTATGCTCCACAACTCGCCCGCATCATCAGTCTCAACGCTGAATAAAACACGATCTTCCTCGTCTTGGCGGGACGGGGAGGGGCCTCGATGCCTGCGTGCGACGGGACGCCCACACGTGTTGCGGCTCAGCCCGGCTAGAGGGCGCTCTCGAAACGTGGGAAGACGAACTCGAATGTCAGCGTCAATCGGAGCTGGAACAGCAGCGGCTCACGCGCAGAGAAAACAAGCGCACCTTTTCGAGACCCAGACATCGCAAACATCTCCCTCTGGATTTTTTTTTTTAAACATTGCTCCTCCTTGAAAACGCTGGCGTAACCCATCGAGCGCATCAGAACGTCAAGTGCGCGCATCTCCTGCATTAATGGGGCGTTAAATTTTCAGTTTCATGTATTTGGTATAGCGCTGTTAAGCCATTGGGCTCTTAAAATCGGGTGCAACCGCAACAAACAAAAAAACAAAAACATGAACAAGAAAACATCTTCAAATGACTATGTGACTGTGCAAACAGAAAATCCAGGAAAAAACAGCAAAATATTCCCGAAAAAGCACCGTACACCAACGCTGTGTGCAAAAATCCCAGTGGGATGCAAGTCAAACAACAACAACCACAAGAAAACTTAGATTAAGGCCATCAGTCTAACTCCGTACTACAACAAACAAACATGGCCAAACCAATTAAACGTTTTCGAAATCACCAAAATAAAGCCACAAATGCAATGTAACAAAGACAAGCCACAGCAGTGCCAGTGTGGCCATGAAACCCCAAACTATTGACCCGATGTAGTACCCCACTGTAGTAAGTGCCCTCTTTCACCGAACGGGGGAGTAAAAAGACTAAACGAACTCTCTCCTGAAGCCCTCTCGTGGCTAGTAGATCTCAACATTGGCATTAAGCTCCTGAATATATTGGCAGATGCAAGAATAGAATACATGGGCAAGCCCAATATGATCGTCAATGTCATCATGTCGTGGTCTATCCGCTCATGGGTCAAGGCCTCCTTCACCTAGTAGCCACGACTACCTCACAAATCACGATCCCGCGATTCAACACTCCATAAAGATCCTCCTACACACAAGCTGATTGAATCGCTCCATATCAGAATTTTAACTTCCTCTTAAGGCATGTTCCTTCTTTGGCTGCCGGATGTTAGCAATCATGTAAATAAACTGATAACTGTTATGTACCTAAGTTGATAACTTACCGCTTCTGACCCATGGGATCAGTATTTACTGTAATAATACAAGTGTTAGGGAGTTTGTTTACTGATACATTTGAAGAAGAGATAACACATTCCTACGTATGTGGCATTGACACCCCGTTAAATAATTAACCGACTTTTCAAAATGCATTTTTCGGTCAGGTCGCAAGAATAAAATTCCAATGTGTGTCGTGTACCCTCCTCCATTCGACACAGCCAAATAAATAAAAGTGTCACGTGAACAACGGACCCTAATTCTTTTTTTAATATAACTTCAGCACACAAGGGTGTTTTGGAGAGCAATCCACAACATTTTACAATTTAGTTACCCGATCTGACCAGAACTTCAATAGACTCAGAATACTAGTCGCGAAAGCCTATACGTGTCAAATATATCGATTATATACAGACTGGATAACGCCGGTGCATTGCTAACTCAGTGTAATGGGATTGAACTAAGTGAAAAAACACGTGTTTCTGTCGGGTCATACAGTTGGTGCCCATTAAAGCGACGATTTTAGCTCAGCAAACATATGCAGCAGCTGTAAAAGCCTTCCCCTTCTCTCAGTAATTAATCATCGAGGACACGTTTGTGACTTTGTCTCCCGCATTTCTGCTCTCGGCGAGATAACCCGAAACGACACACAACGCATACTCGGTTGGCCGTGCTACATTTCTCTATGCTCCCATAATGGATCGGTGTTGTGTGGCACAGATCCCATTAAATAAATGACGGAGAGGAAACGAAGCGGCGAAAAAATAACAAAGCGTTGCTATGGTGTCCTGTGTTTCACCAGCGAGCACCGCAAAGCATAAAATACATAAACAAGGAGATGGTTCCATCTTCTGTGTCCATCCATTGCTCAACTCGTGGCATCTGCAGTAGCCAGATGAATGCCAGTAAAACGACGGTGGTGGTGATGCCGCTTGACCTTTAAATATATATTTTAATACACTGAATGTTTTTTTTTTATACAGTATAAGGGAACTTCATGAGGAGGATATCCTCGCAAACAGGATACACGGTCACTAAATGCAAAGTAGTCTCTGATTTAAACGTAAATTAACCATGCACAACCCTCCAGCCCCACGGCTGCCCTTTCCAGCTGAAATAGGCTGTACCATGCCCTGCCGAGTTCCCTGTCGGAGCACCAACGGGCATTCACATGTCACCCACCGCCCTTCAGCTCTTTGGTATTTCTTTGTCTGGCGCAACGGGTGGTGTGGAACGGGTCTGTGTGGCTGCGAGCTAAAGTCAAACGTGCCACCCACCCTCCGTTTGATTTAGCACTCCCCACAGCTCCCACTCTGTGATTAACGTTTTCCCAGGATCTTTGCATGAGCCCGTTGCGGTCTGGTTGACTCAACATTTTGCCGTGCAGTTAAGTTTCTCGTGCTCAGCAATCCAGCGTGTGAATTTTTGTTGCAGTGAAAATGTAACCCCGCAAAGGGCCCCCTTTACTTCACGATGGTCAGTATTGAAAAATTACGCACGGACAAAAGCATTCGAGATCAAAACCAGTGGAGAGGTTTGTTGTTTAGACAAAGTCTGCTGGAAAATGTTAAGTCTGCAAAGCCCAGAGGCTGATGGACGAACAAGTACAGTATTTAATTTCATGTGGAAACAGGCCAATTTACTAATTTAAATGTATTTCCAATTAACGATTGTGTTCGAATTGAATGCAATTGTAGTCCTTTGGAATTACAGATTGCTACCTGTACCTTTTATCCTAGTAATTTATCATTTGCATTACCAAAAATTCGTACATCTTAATCAGCATCCTGTCTATGTGATTGCAATTTCTGGAACTTGTAACATCATACTAAATTCTGCAAATGCCAACATTATGACGATGGCATCAGTAGGACACGTTTAGAGGAGTACTATGACGACGTGACGTCATGCGCGCTGTGAGGCGCGATGACGTCACGTCAGGGAGCTACTTAAAGGGGACCCCCGGTGACTGAAGCGGGGTCGTTGTGGGAGCCCGAGGATGGTGAGGGTCTGAAGGAGGTCTCTCCTGCTCGCGACCGGACGGTGTTTGCTGATCCCCCGTCCCCCGACTCGAGTGAGATAGCCAAGGCTAGCAGACATTGGATAGAGCCCGAGGTCCGCGTGAAGGACCGAGTGTAGCGACACCTACCTCCGGTAGAGTTGTTACTTCCTTGTGTTATTAAACCGGCGCAAGCCATTTACCTGGAATCTGCCTTCGAGTCGTCATTCACCACTCAACACATGTACCAATGGATTCATCAATTAAAATTAATCAATTACACAATATTTTGTCTCTTTCCCGATGGATGTACACATACAATACCGTACACACTATACTCAAATCAAAGACAGTTTATTCGTATAACAAACTTTTATTCTAAAATGCATGTACCCCTACTACCTATGTGATGCATTGCTGTTATATCAGTTGTAAACTATTGAGCATAAATAATGGCGCTCTTGAAGAATGGTACCTATATACAGTATATATACCAGCAGCCTATATAACCAAATTACCCACATTGTTCTGGATGTTTTCAACTTACGGAAGCTGTCGAAGAAAATAGATTTTCCAACATTACAAAAGCTGGTTTATTTTTAAATCGCGGAAATGCAAACCTGACTGGTAACATTCAAAGTACTGTGTGTGTGTATATAGCACGTAAAGGAAGAATATACGTCTCCAAAGTGACGTACCTACACGCTCGGTATATATTCTGGAGGTGTACACGTGTGAACATTTCTTCTCCCTCAAAATAAGTTTGTGCCGAACTTAAATGTTCCATCACTGCTACTGAGACACTGCCTCTGGGTAACGACGACGAAACATGTTTTACAAGCACCAAGCTTATGCGTGTATCTATAGAGGTAAGAGGAACATTTTCATACCTATTGAAAAATAAAATGGTATATGACCGTGTAAATAAAGTTCTGTACTGTATTCATGTTAACGTTATTGTTCGATAAGTTAATATCGTGTTTTTTTTTTAAGTAGTTTGCATATTTTTCGATTCAAAGCTTTCGCGACTGCAGGGATTCTCATATTCTTGGTTCTTTCGGTAAAGTCACGTAGAAGGGAAATCATATTGTTTTATTTGTATTATTTTATTATTTCCCTTCTACGTGACTTTACCGAAAGAACCAAGAATAGTTTGCCAATGTTTCAATTTTACCAGCATCACCCCTCGCGACCCCACCACGTGTGACAGGCGTTATAGAGGCTATGGGGGCCACGTTGTGGGCAGCAATGGACACAGTGCAGCAACAGAAAAAATCCATTGCTGTACAGTACTTTTAATGCTATGCCTCCTCATCTATGCTCCCCATCGTCATCGAGCCACACTGACCAGCAGTGGAAAGCATGGTAAAGTAAACCTTCATGGACTCGCATGGAGTGGGGTTGACCCCTCATCCTGGTGGAGTGACCAATGGGATATATACGCGTACAACAATACGTTATGACTGTGCATCGTAACTGCTGTCCGCATTTCACCGCAATTAAAAAAACGAATTGCGATGTTTGCTGGGATGGTTGGATGCGTTACAATGCATAAATGCATGTTCACATTGAGATCGAGTGCGGCATTGTTAGCGATCACATATAATTCTGAATGTATATTCTTCTAATATATATTTTATTATTTTATTGTTTCCCTTCAACGTGACTTTACCGAAAGAACCAAGATTATGAATCACTGCAGTAACGAAAGCTTTAAATCAAAATTTAATTCTGAAAGTGTTCACCTCGCCGACCATTTGTGTCTATGGTTGAGCTGTCCATGATTTCACCCACATTTCAAATAACCGTAGAGGAGCGAATGAATGAATTAGTTTTTCATCTAGAACCAGATGTAAAGCCAGCGGAGACAAATGCCATGTATGCCAAGTATAATGACAGAATTCTGAAAAACGCTTTGGTGGAAAGCAAAAGGCCTTGCATATATATGCAAACAGGTTTGTGCACGTGTGTGGATACATCAGTAGAGGAATCGATAGATATATCGATTCTTAGGTTCACAATAGAATCGTGCACTTCATCATCAGAGAACCCACGCAGTCATGATCTAGCTACTGTTGGATGAAGGTCTCTAAATCTACTTATACGTCCTTAAATCTTTTCATCCCTTAGGAATCCTGCATATTTGGTTTGCATACCTTATATGTTGTATATAATTTGTTTACAATGACCCCGGCAACCCCATTCACCACAGTTGAGGAAAATCATTGATTATTTAATCGAAATTTAAACGTAAAATAGTGGCAATTGATCGAATACCTTTACGTGGGATGACATTCCTTGGCTACTGCCTCTCATGTAGCGGATACCCTGCAATAGGCACGTTCACTCCCAACTCCCGTTATTTGATTAATGTGTCTGTATAATATGCAAAGTCTGACTTGCCTGCAATGTGTTACTCCTTTATTACATCTCATTTCGTGCTAGTTGTCTTGTTCTGTGTTAAATTTTGATTTAAAGCTTTCGTGACTGCAGGAATTCATATTATTGGTTCTTTCGGTAAAGTCACGTAGAAGGGAAACAATAAAATAATAAAAATCTAAAACAATAAAATATTTGTTCTGTATTGTTTGCCTACATGCAAATCACCATGAATTGTGACCAATCTCATGACATATAGGAAGCTAAGCAGCCTTAAGTCTGCTTAGTATGTGTACATAAGACTGGCAATGCCTAGTGTTGTCAACCTGTTAGGCTATCATATTACCCGGAAATGATGGTATAATAGGATTCTTGCATCTATCTGTGCAGAGTTTTGAGTGTTACCCCATCACATGCATGGGTTTCGCCTGCCTACTCCGATTTCCCCTCGCATGCCAAACACCTATCTAACCGGTATTGGCCAAACTTCCATATGCAGCAGGACCATCTTGAAAGTAGTCTTGAGTCTCGGTGAGGATTTACTGGGTAAACGAAGGATATTCGTCTCCTTGCCCATTGTTTGCACTGCATGTCTCATCCTGCTCATTCTCCTACCCAGTTGCATTGATAAAATAAAATATTGCATGCTGATTGTGCGCAGTGGCAGTGCTGATGCATTGCGCAGTACCAGCGGCAATGGGCAGCACAGTCCACGGGAGTCCGGCTGGCGTGGGGCGAGCAAGCGGCAGCACCAGGACCGTGTCGGTGACGGAGGGGCAACTCGCCGTGTTGGAGTGTGGCTCCGACTCCACCGGGCCTCTCAGATACCTCTACTGGTACAAGGTATGAGGAGGCATTGATCCCAGCGTGGGGAGACATTGATCACTCATCAATAGGGTCCTTATATTCCTCAGCAACTCAAAGCACCGTTGAAATCGGGATTGAAAACTCACTTCTTGAAAACTGCTTTTTGTTTTTGGTTTGCTGTCCTTCCCCCACTCCTCCGATGAGCATGGTTGGCTAAGTTCAAAATACATAGCTTACGCCACATCCCATCTTAAGTGGTAGCTGTTTCCGTGTGGTACAATGTAGGGGGCAATAATGTGTAGCCCTGTTTAGTAATTTATTGGTGATTTTTTTCAAATGTGGCCAATCTGGACCCAATGTGCAGCAAATGGCATACGCAGTTTATGGTTCGGATGTATGTATGTTGAACTTCTTTCACACAAAAACTGGATAACAAACTGAACACAAACAGCAGTTAGAAATAAATCAGTTATCAATTAAGTTTATACACCCCAGGCATTAACCTGCTGGATTCTAACCTCTGCAAACAAGCGGTGAATGTGCTGACGCCAGTCAATGGCACCCGCCCAGGGGTCTAATGCTTAAGCTGACAATTTTTGGCACAGAGAAGGTCACGGTGGTGATGGAAATCGTGAATTTGAATAAAGACCTGTGGAATGTGATATAGCTGTGCAAACATATCGGATTGGGCGCTTCCTTCATTTCCTTTAAAAAATGCGGTATTCAGCAGAGGAGGGTAACCCATTCCATATTCTGTGACATTTTTTTATAAATTACATTTGTCGTGAAATTTACCAAAAAATTACTACGTATATATCGTAGCCTTAATAATAATCGACCGATATGGTGATGATTTCGTGTTGATTTCATAGGGAAGGGCGCCGCCTCAGAAAAAGCTGGTTGCATACCTGAACAGCGAGACGCACGCGAACGGCACGGGCCGTGGTGAACCGGGCCAGAGGGCCTCCATCCGGGGCCGCTCCACGCTGCATCTCGGCCGGGCGAGACGATCCGACTCGGGCACGTACCGCTGTGAAGCCCTGCCCGTGCGCTCACGGCACGTGGTTCGTCACGAGGTGCAGCTCATCGTCACAGGTCCGGCATGTTGTGCAGACATCATCCAGTGATATATGGCTGCAGAATAAGCCAGATTATCGGCTCAGGCAATTATTACAATTGGCTAACACAATTATCTGGCTCAGCCACTTCAAAGATGCGAGTTCAACCCCGATAAATCTTGGAGAGCTGAGTGGAGTTCAAAATAACTCACCCAACGCAGAAGATCGCTGGGCTTGATCTTCCACGAAGCTCATGTTCCACCCTACTAAACCACATCCGCACAACAAATGACATATGCAGATACCTGACGCACAAATGGATACACTAAATATCTCCAGTGTGCGACTGTGGTCATCCAGAACAGACCATAGGACACATAACGATGCAATGCCCGATCCACAAATACGAAGGAGACATCACAGCGATACACTCTGCTGCTCCTGACCCAGTTGTCTGGCTAGACCACCTGAATGTGAAACTGTAATTGTTGCTCTGCATCTATATCAGCCATAACGAAGAAAATGAATTATGATACAGTCGAACACACAAGCACAAATTGGCCGTTCTTCATAGCAATATTAATACTACTAATGCACAGTATTGACTTCAATAATTACCTGCTACTCTCTCATTTTGATTCAGGGACTCTTTGCCCGCACACGTTAATAATGTGCCCAAACAGGTTAATTAATGATAAACACAGACGACATTTGTTTTCTTTTCACCCTCATGCTGCGTAGGCGAACAACAAATATATTGCTTTAACTTAATTTGCATACGTTTTGTATTGTGTTTTTGTTTGATCTCGGCTACCCCTATCACCCCACATTTGTGACAGCTGACCGGAAGAGAAGTGTTCATCATATACCCTGTGTATGTCCAGTTTGTTCGTCTTGGCGGTTGCAATTTGGTGTTCGTGAATTTGTTTTCCCTTTTTCTTCTCAGAGAGAAGTTTTGTTGTTGCAAGCGCAGTCAACGACCAGACACACACACCAATTACATCAGTCAACTCTTTGGTGACACCAGGTAAAACATCGATTATTTAAATGCCAAACAGTTTTTTTTCTCCATTAAAATTACATGCTCCTTTTCCGTACATATTTGTTTTTTTTATATTTCAGAATGTCTGGCCATTAGTTTTATTGTTTTTGATGACTGAAATCTTAAAGTTACATAAGACAAATTAACATTTAAATAGACCTGAAAAATTACACCAGCAGAGAATTTGAAACCTCCATATAGTTTATTATTCAAATTATTATTTACAGGAAATAAAAAAACTATACACAGACTTTACCAAAAGTACCAAGAATATACACAGACAGTTGTTAGTGGCATGCATAAATTTCACGTACATAGCAATGGCTGAATTCATTTAGGATTTTCATTTGCTGTCTGTTCTCACTATGTGCTTATGTTAATATGAACACTATAATGTTCATGTTGCTCCAGTCAACACTGTTTATTTGGAAAAATTACTGTCAAATTGTTATGCTTGCAATTACAGAACAAACAAGCTCAACAACGAGAATGGGCAACAACGTTACAGACTTGCGTGGGAAATTCCACAAAGACCTACACAGAAGTAAGACCACACGTCAAAATCTTAATGAATGCCAGATGTAAATAAAAACTGTTTTAGTCATATTTCAGTGTTTTAGACATTTGTCTGACATACAGAATTTTGATCTGCACACTGTAGCAAAATGTAAGAATATGCATTAGAAAAAAAGCTCTTTTACAATGACGTGGGCCACATTTCCACAACCACTGAGAAGTGAGCTGGCCTGATTCTTGCACTGGGCAAAGTGAACTCATCTCAGATTTTCATGGTCGCCTGACTGAATCAAGCCCGCACCAACCCAGCCTGCGTGTTGCTTGCTTATGCAGGCTGCGTGGCTTAGATGCGGGGGCCATGCTCGAAAACGGTCGTGACATCACAAACCAAAGCACCACCACTCCACCCAACTTGGGATTGCATAACCTTAACCAACTGTATGCTCAGGTTTGTTACAAAATTAATCATCACTTCCTCCCAGCCTCGGATAAGTCTATGTCCACGGAGCCTTGCAGCTCTGTTGGGACAATAAATCAGCGTGGTTAGACCTTTCTTGGAATCGCCCAGCATGGCTTAGAGCTGCTTCCCAATGGTTGTGGAAACATAGCATTATTTTTTATCGCATTACCTCACGTATAAATGTCCACATGGTGAATTTCATACAAATACATAAATCGCGTAGTCTCGTTTTGCATTCTCATGTTTGCATCGTATATATTTTATGTTTCAGAATTGTTTCCAGATGGCACCATAAAATCTGAAGAAATTTTGTTGGTGGTTATAATAATCCTCATGTTTTTGGCATCATTTCCCCTTGTTGTCATCATCCTTAAAATTGTAAGTATTGAATGTAATGCTGATTATATTTTTTTTACAGGATGACCTAGACAATGGCACATTGTGTGCACAGCTAACAAAAACAGGATGATGCAAGCAGATGAAACTTTCTTTTGCTACGATAAAAAGCGGTGCAAATAACCAACGGACAATTCAAATCTTGCAACTTTTTAATCCAAGGATGTTACCATGCAATAGATACATGTAATGTCAGTGATATGCGTATTTACTGTTATTTTCAATTGTGTTTGTTAGCTGTGCAAGAGGACAAAGACACAGGAAGAAGGAAGGACACTTAAAAATAAAGATGAGAAAAACCCATGCCTTGCAACGTAGCACATTTCCTCATTCCAGCATCAATCACATGGCTTGTGAGACAAAAACCCAAGTTGCTTTACATATATTTACCGATGTCACGTTAAATGTAAATACATGTCAAAGCTGTATGATATTTTAAATGGTAATGTATTTTAATTGATGCTAATATGAAGTTTTTTTTTAAAATGTAATTGCATGTCTATGAACAGTTTTTGTTCTTCTATATTTAAGGCCCAATTTCTGTTCAAATACGTTTTTGTTTTCTTCACGTGTTTCACCGTTTTAGAACAGGGTATGCTGGTTAATCTCGAACCAAAACTATGATGAGTATAGTATTCTGCGAAAACACTATTTAAATAAAAACACAAATATTACACGCATAACACAAAGATATAATGCAATACATTAGAGTTGAAACGTCATCTATTATATATATTTTTTAAAGTTTGTATTATGAACAATTTTGCTGAGGTTTTCTTTATTATTATGCTAAGGCAACACCGCCAACACAGACGCATCACCAATTATTTGTTTACACTAATGTATGTATCATATGCTGTACAGTACACAGGGGTATTGTTTTTAAATAAAGTTTTATTAAAATCGTATCTCGCCCGACTCGGCCTCCCTTTTATTCAAATACGTGTAGAAACTTGATGGCTATTCGGTGTGAACTAAATGTTTACCATTTTTGGGAGCACTCTATATATTAAATAAAACAAAGTGAATAGAATAGTGGATTTTGTAATTTATGAAATTTGTATTGTTCTTCATTCAATTGCGTCGTCATCATCATGCATAACATATCACATATCCACTACTATATTAAGTCCTTCCTCCATAATCTGTTGTCATATCAATCTTGATTTGAAGCTTTCGTGACTGCAGGAATCCATACTCTTTGGTTCTTTCGGTGAAGTCACGTAGGTAGAAAAATAATCAATCACGACGTTTCGATCGCAACACAAGCAATCGTCATCAGGTGGGACAAACAGCAAGAAAAAACTGCTGAAGTTTTTTCTGCTGAAGTTTTTTCTTGCTGTGGTTGTCCCGCCTGATGACGATCGCTTGTGTTGCTATCGAAACGTCGCGATCTATTATTTTTCTACCTCCGAGACTGTTGTCATATCTCATTGTCTTGCGATGGAACCATCTATCTGGCTCCTGCAAATGGGATTATCTCTGTGGTAGCTATGCAAAGAGGGTGGGTTCCTTTCTTTGGCTGCCAACTCCATAGTTGGTCTCGACCACCAGCTATAATTAGTTCTAGCTCCTCAACCTATGTGCAATTAGATGGCAAGATGATCAAGAAGCTCATGCCCTTAGAAGACCAGCATTGATAAGTTCCTAGATCAAACTGCATGCAGGACCACAATATTAAAACTATCAGTTTAATAGTCTCAGCTTATTCAATAATGATTGCGTAAAACAAAAATTCAGCTGGAAAATATGTACCTGGCATACATTTGCCAACCGCAGTACAGTCATAACGTTCGGCTGGAAAGTATGAAGTGTACGTTTTACGTAAAGTACCGGACTTCAAACAGATTTTTACAGTACAAGTGAAGAGGAGACTTGAGATGGTTTAAGCTGGATCTTTATTCTCAAGGCAACTCACACCGCACTTCCACTCATCATCGAAAACCAACCTCGAACCCTCCAAATCGTCTCTATTATATAGCCCGTCTCCCACCCTTTTTTTTTACACTCATTCCCTTCTCGGGCTTACTGCTCTACTGATAATCCCCCCTGGGGGCCAATACGATCGGAGTGTCCTCCACTCAATAATCGGAATGGGTGGCGTACACGGCAGCACCCCGGTGACACTTAACCCGTGGTTGTGTGGTGTTTGTGTGTGAGGATGTCCCGAACATCCCCTACACAAAGTATGCAATCTACTTGTGACGTAGAATCTTTTTTTCAAGTATTCTGGGCGAAAACATGTGAAGTCACTCTCTGGGTAATTCCGCCTTGAAAGATATGCAGAAGAACCGTCTTTTGCTCTGCACGTGCTGTACATGACAAACCAAGCCAGATGCCGAGACAGCCTACGGGTCAATGTGTTTTTTTCTCAATGTCCCTACCGATGCAATGAAATTCTTTTTGAGATTAACTTTTTTTCACATGGCTTAGCTCCTCTCTAACACCATCAGGAGAGCTGCTGTAATCAACTGATCATATTATTGGGCACCGTTGACCACCGATGTTAACACCAATCGTAAACCTCGACGTGGCATTCCCCTTTTCACATTTCTGGGTCTGAAGGGGAACGAACATGACAGGAGATAAAAGGCCAACTTGGCCCAACATCGAATTCAAATTTGCTGCATTAGGTTGTGGGGGCTTGGTTGAACATAAATTCACCATATCCGTCAGTGTGGGTTGGTGGGAAACGTGGTTATGAAAGTTTTCTTCAGAGTAAATTATGTTAATCAAAAATGTGATATTATATTGCATTAACTTGTCGGTCAAAACATACCTGCAACAATTGTGTATTGACTCACAATTTTCAGGAATATTGATGTTTTTGTTAGAACTGTTGATTGTAAAAAAATATATTTACTATTCTCTCATAGGAATAGAAAATGGCAACAAAAATTACTTTGATTTGAAACTTTCGTGACTGCAGGAATCCATACTCTTTGGTTCTTCGGTAAAGTCACGAAACGTCGTGATCTATTATTTTTTCTACTTACGTGACTTTACCGAAAGAACCAAAGAGTATAAAAATTACTTAACACAATAATTATACTCATATAGGATTGGGCTGTATAGACAGACACGTGGTAGTCCAGAGCTCGATTGCCATCCAGTGGCCACATAGTGAATAAATTTACAGCATCTAAATTCTGACTTAAAACTTTCGTGACTGCAGGAATTCATATTCTATGGTTCTTTCGGTAAAGTCACGTAGGTAGAAAAAATAACAAGCGGACGTCATCACGAACTCCCGATCATATCAGTTCCTGATGACGACCGCTTGTGTTGCGATCGAAACGTCGTGATATTTTTCATCACTTGTTTTTCTATCTACGTGACTTTACCGAAAAAAAACATAGAATATTCACAGCAAATATACGGCTAAACTTTTTATCTGCAAATGTGTCCAATCTTGAGGGCCGTTCGTAATAGTGGTGCAGGCCCGTTGCAAATCCCACATCTGACACCGTGACGTCGAGGCGCGGGGCTCCCAAAAGCGCGGGGCTCCCCAAAGCGCGGGGCTCCCCAAAGCGCGGGGCTCCCCAAAGCGCGGGGCCTTGGGCGGTCGCCCCGATTCGCCGTAACCTAGGGACGGCTCTGCCAATCGTTAGCTTCTTTAAATAAACTCTGTTGAAGAAAATCGATCAGAAGAGTCTAAATATTGAAAAGCTGTGATTATTGTCATGTGAAGAGGCGAACTAAGGTCTGTTTATTTTATTACAGTGCAGTACAATATTCAGATTAGGGTTCATGGAATTCGCCAGATCTCAGAAGATAAGAGGATTTGAGTCTGGTTAGGATTTGGAGGGGTGACCATTCATAACAGGTGTTATCGACTGCGAGCCATGTTATGGACAGCATATATTATTTTAAAAAAAATCTATAAGAATAAACATAATTACAGTATAACAATGGACATATCGGCTCACCTCGACGTTTCTATACATATAAAATATGCACCCTAGCTGGACTAATTGGGTGCTAGAGGGAACCATTTACAACCTTGCATATACACTGTGATTCTAGTAGCACGAGTTCAGTCACTACTGCCACTGCGTCGTCGTGAATTGACAGCAGTGACTGAGATGCCTGCTAATGCGTGCCCCAGCTAGAGATCTGTGACTGTGTGAACAGTTTGAACGTCCTATTTGGGCCCTCTGTAAAATGATCTCCACCATAGGAAAATTAATTTGCAGACAAAACGCCTCCTTTACATATCTGTTCCTCCACATCCACTTTTTTTACATGTCCCGTCAGCCACACGGCCTTCTGGGAGTGACTCTGCCGATGAGACACTGAAAGTCGAAACCGGTCGGTCAAGAGCGTTGCTTGTGTTGAATGCTGATGGCATTACACAGAAGCAGGGCATATGTGTGAGAAGGGATGTGTATTAAAAAAAATACGTGGGGGGAGGGGGGCAGATATACGAAGGAGTATTATCCGCTTAGGGGCCGTCCATAAATGACGTCACGCGATTTTGGACGATTTTTGACCCCACAAAAAGTCAGACCCCCCCTCAAATATGACGTCACAAAGCTCTGCCCCCCCCCCCTAAAAAAATGTTTCAAATCGCTTTAAACTATTGTCATTGTAGTGCGTATTTAATGTGGCGCTGCACTCTGATGTTGTAGGAGAAAACATTTATTAAAAAGTTTATTTAATTAAGTAGAACGTGTTGTCTATATTTATTTAAAGTTGCCCATTTTGATGTGACGTCACATTTCTCACCCCCCCCCCCTCGTCACACATCGTCACGAATGTCTGACCCCCCCCCCCCCCCATGTGCGTGACGTCATTTATGGACTGCCCCTTATGTATTTTGTTACAGCGCCCATATTGATGCCCATTTCATGAAGTTCCAGCCACAGTGGCGAGTGGAGCGCTGAGCATTGCTAGAACTCCGATCACGTTCCCCCCCCCCTACCCCGCCCCGACTTCCGGTCTCGCGAGACCAAAGAGGGCGGGGCACGCTGCTCAAGTCTCGTTTGGCTCGCGGTGCCCCGAAGTTCTCGCGCGATGTCCGCTCTCGCGAGAGCTCCCTCTTCCTTTGAGCGGCGAGCATGGCGGTGTTCGGTCCCGTGGTGCGGATCCACCCTGTGGTGCTCTTCAGCGTCGTCGACAGCTACGAGCGGCGAAACGAGGACGCCAAGCGGGTCATCGGCACGCTGCTCGGTGAGGGGAAGCGGCCCGCCGAGGTTGTCGCCACAACGGGGTGGTGGGGGGGAGTTTGGTGCGGTGGCGCCGTATTGTGTTTGGTGGACCCTCGCTAGGCCCAAGGCTTTTGAGGCCTAGTTTTGGCCCCGGCCCGGTGGACGCTCGCCGAACTGAGCTCTGGTCGATTAATTACGCGACGGTTAACAGCGTCGAGGTGTTCAATGTGAACGTCGTCGTGTGTACAGTAATGGTGTTGAGTGGCTGAAGTAATGGGCGGTGAGAGAAGGGCGTTCTCCGTTTGCGCCCCTCTCGTCAATCCGCGGCGATCGAGTAAACGTGCCGATCCTCCCCCTCCCCTCCCGAGAAAAACGGAAGAAGTAACAACAAACTCGCCTCGCGCGATTGTAATTGTTCCTATTAAAGCACGTTGCGTCTCTCGTGCCGTTTGTACCGTCTTGCACGGTCTCGTGTTGTACCCGTGCTGCACCGTGCTGCATGACGGTAGTCTGTTTGGCCGTGACGATTTTCTGAACCGGTTCCATGGGCCTTTCCTTGGTCGACTCGGCATTAAATGAGTAGTTCGGTGCGTAAACATCGCCACTGGGGAGACAAAGGCGGCCCGGCGTAGTGCTGGCCACCCACCCCCTCGTGTCATTCAATGGTGCTCGCTAACTGCACTTGCCCCAACAGTGATGAATGCTATACGGGTTTCTTCAATACAATCGATGTGCGATTGCCGAATCTACGTCTCAGCCACATTCAATATTTCGTCGGTCACATTTCTATCGCCTTTGTACTGTATCGTGTCTATCGGAGTGCGTTCTAGCACTCTTGACTTACTACTCTTACTGTATAGTTTGTCAAGTTCTGATTGTGCAATATCTAGCATTACTGCCTTTCAAAATCGATTTATCGTGTTAAACGTCTGTTTCACGCGTTTGAACTGTGCGTTGTATTGTGCAGTAAGTATTCGTTTAACGCGGTAGATGCGGTCCTGAAAATGTAAGTGAACGTGAAACCATAGCGGGGGCGTTCTGCGAAAAGTGTTCCCTTTCGAAGAACCGCGTTAAAGCAAAACTCATTGCGGCAACATGCGTTAAGCGAGGGATTGCCTGTGCTTCAGAATCATAAAGCACTTTTTTAATTAATCTAAAAACCTACTTGATTAAACTTGCTTTTAATTAGGATTCTCTTAATGTGTTATTTTATGCCTTTGCTAGAAATTTGTTACAACGTGAATTTATTTTGCCTACAATTTCAATTGTATTCTGCATGCCTGTAAAGCACTATGTATTGCATTTTTTTGCAGGAATAGTGCAATAGAAATAAGTTTGATTGATTGAGTGTCGCACTTTATAGTGGCTCCCTCGGGAGTTAAAAACGATAGCGCAGGCATCAAATTTGTAATGTTACAACACCTGAAATGTATGGCGGTCATGGTTGCTTCCTTTGTTGCTGTGTAGGGACGGTGGATAAACAGAATGTGGAAGTGACCAACTGCTTTTCTGTGCCGCACAATGAATCTGAGGATGAGGTGAGTAGAAAGTGCTGGATGAAATGTCCACAAGGCGTAACAAAATGCACAATCCCGTCTGCGCGAACATTCAATTGAACTCTTTTAACCTTTACACAAACATACTATAGTAAATGTATCATTACAGTGAAAGTATTTTTCTTTAGCGAAATTCGATTGTTCGCGATTTTTTTTGTATAGCAGTTCCAGTTGCGTGCCTTTTTTTTCTCCCCTCATTCAACTATTGGCGATTTGGCAACTTGCACATTGGTGGACTGTGGGCCCCCGTGTGCACACCCAGGCCATTGTGTAACATACTCGACGCATCACCGCACGCATCTAGCCGTTCACTCGTTGAGGGCGTGCCATGCGGACGCCTAGATGTTGTATCATTAACTTTCAAGTGACCAGGACGTGTTGGGGTAAATAAAAATTCCACATTTACAGTAATTTGTGTTTCATTATTTTGTTATTATTTGTATTATAGCTATTATTGTACGATTTAATTATGTGGATGCTATTTGTGTACAGCACAGGATTAATGTTTTCTCCCATATCTTCAGTCAAACATGAGAACCTTAACCCCCTCCCCCCCCCCCCCCCCATTTTCCCATTTAAACATAGTATCTACATTAGCGAATTCTACTTTCGCGCAGATTTTCAAGAACGAAACCCTTGGGAATGTCGAGTCCTTACTTTGTAGTAACATTGATATATTATGTAGGCTTCATTGCATATGTGGGCTTTGTCAGGGTGTGCATTATGCAATCTTGCATTATGCATTATATCTTTGTCTACTCTGTAGTAAACATTGTTTTTTTATTTTTCATCACAGGTTGCTGTGGACATGGAATTTGCAAAGAATATGTACGAGTTGCACAAGAAAGTTACACCAAATGAACAGATTGTCGGCTGGTGGGTGTCTGCATTTTCTATTATGGCATGCTCAGTTAATGTGTCGTCTTATTAATTTTACAGTCGTGCAAATGCTTTGATTTACATTAAATCTGTTACACAGGTATGCCACGGGCTACGACATCACGGAACATTCCGTACTCATTCACGAGTACTACAGTCGGGAGACCCAGAACCCCATTCATCTTACAATTGACACAACCCTACGTGGAGGGAATATGTCCATCAAGGCCTACGTCAGGTAATCTACATGCTTGCACATTAAGGCCTATCATACTTGCTTACTTCATCAAGATGCTTATATTGGGATCTTTGTTTTGTCTGCAGTGCTTCCATGGGTGCCCCTGGCAAAACGATGGGTGTCATGTTTACGCCTCTCTCCGTGAAGTACGAGTACTACGATCCGGAAAGGATTGGAGGTGACCTAAAACGGATGATCTGCCTGTTTCCAAACGCATAATTTTTACACGCTTTAATGTACACGCCAATCAAAAGCTAACCTACCCACGGAAGATGGATGTTGGGAGTGGCGCGAAAGTGCAAGTGCAATTTGTCCCGCTGAATCTGCTTTGGGCGTAAGTTGTTGCCGCCCGTCCTTAAAGATATTTCCGTTCCCTGCTCGCGGTTGCAGTGGAAATAATCCAGAGGACGCGCAGTAACAACAAGCGCACCGTGAGTATGACGTCGGAGCTGACGCAGGTGGGCGCCGCCGCAGCTCAAATCCAGGACATGCTGACCCTTGTTCTGCAGTACGTGGAGGATGTTCTAGTAAGCTCTGCGCTCCATGAGAAACTACAAAAAAACATTCACTATCATGGAAACCCGCAAGTGTTTCAATTGAACAAATGTTTTACATGTAATGATTAAAACACCACGTTCAAGTTTGTGCGGTTTTTGTTTCCTGTAGTCTGGGAAGGTTGTTCCTGACAACACCGTGGGACGTTTTTTGATGGACCTGGTTAACAAGGTGCCCAAGCTTGCACCGGAGGACTTTGAAGCTATGATCAACAGCAACATTAATGTAAGGATATTTGTCTTGTGCTATTAACATTTCAGTGACTAAATAAATGGATCTAAACGAAGTTGCCAGTGATTTCAATGAACATTTCCTGGATTTCTCGAGGAAAAATGATTCTCATTTTGATATATTAAGCAATCACATGCTGTATTGGAAGATCCACTAGAGGGCAGTCCTGCCTTAGAATGTCAAACATTTGGCAGTGAATTTGTCTGGCCGAAAGCAGTTATTTTCCCTTTCCATCCCTGCTAAAACTAGAAAAAAAACTGCTGATGAAATGCTTATCCAGGAGGAGTTTAACACGTGGTTAAAGTAACTTTCCATGCTTGAAGTGCTTGTTTCATTGACTTAACGACTATCTTTGATTTATCCATTTGTGTGCGGAGTTGTCAATGTGCTTGATAGTAGTGATTGCTGGACATAATGTTAATTCGTGTATCTGCCGTCCCCACAAGACTGATGATGGAACAAGGCTTTTGGTTTTTGTATCAGTATCGTTGATGAGATGTTGAAGTGCCCTCTCCTCACAAACTGTTCTTCCTTGGTTTTCAGGACCTGCTTATGGTGACATACCTTTCAAACCTGACTAAGGCACAGCTGGCTCTCAATGAGAAACTGGTGGCATTAGCCTAGGTGCACGAGTTGTCTACTGGCACCCCCTGATGCATACTCTGGTGGAGCTCACATTTATGCAGAGGATTCCGAAAACCATATCTGCTACACATGCACCTTTACTGTTTGACAAACATCTCGAGTTGCAGTGAAGTTTGTAAGATTGTTTTGTGTGGAATTTTACCTGTCAAATTGCATCACATTTATGTGGATGTATTATCTATTTTGTAAACATCTGTAACATGGTTGTACCCAGGTAATATTACCTGAATAAATTACAAGAAAAAAGGTACCTGTGTGGTTACTAATTTGATTGCAACTGGAAAACACTCATCTTTACATCAAGTCTATCACATTGACATTTACATTTCATTTCAATTATGATTTCTTATTTAAAACTTGTCCAAGGTTCGGTTTTATTGTACAAACATACAACAGTTTTCCTGCTGTAAGAAGTTACTCCTGCTTTAAATCTACTTGCAAGTTCCATCCCTGGGGAACTTGCTCACAGCATTTTAGGAATGTACTTTTTTCATACCTGAACTCTGTTTGGACCAAGTCAAAGCAATGAGTTTGATATGTATGGCTATTGATTGAGCCAGTCATACAATTCCCCAGATGTGCTGAGCTAAATTTGCACCAACATTTCTCGTTTATACGGGAGAGATGTTGGGAGAGGGGTGGCTGTGTTCAGTTCTAACCAACGACCCATTGCTGCCATACCCTGGGGGGAAAAGGCTGAAATGCCTCGTGGCCATTTCTGCAACATCTGGTGTTAAAAAAATGGGGGGGGGGGGGGACAAAAGGCCTGCTTTAAAGAAAAACATGTAAATAGTGTTAAGGAATTTTTAAAAAATTTGTGTAACCTTGTCTTGTCAGTTTTGCCATGCTCTAATATAAGCTTACTTTTTTCTCACTTTGGGGGGTGGGGGGAAGTGAATCTGACATATCCCATGGGACACTAGGCTTTGTTTTAATGTTTTAAATCTAATTGTTAGTCGACTTGTGTCTGGAAACGCTGAAGCGCATTGCCCAATACCTGTCCATCAAAGAGCGTTAAAATTCTTCATCGCATTTTCCGCCACAAAAAACGCCAGTGCAACCTGCGCAAAAAAAGTATAGGTTGGTTCATGCCACGCCATCCCTCTGCGAATCGGGCTGGCTGCACACACATTAGTCCCGGCCGTTACAATAGGGCCAGTATTTCTGTGCAGCTTCTCCACCCGAGGGATTGGTGGGTAGCCAGCCCACACATATGTGCACTCAATCGCAAGAGGCAGATGAGGTGCTCGGCGGTAGCCAGCCGGCGGTCGTCTGCCCACTCCAGTCGCCCAGACAGCACGAAGGGAAAAGGAATTTGGCAGGAAATGAGTGCACCATTTTTTTTTGGGGCTCGTTCCCTCCGTTGTACCCCTCAACCACCCCCCACCCACCCATCCAACCAGCCTTCCACCACTCTTAGGCTGTCTGTTCTCGTTTTATTTCAAACAGATGGGACTGCATCTCAACCCTACTCTGCAACGGCAGCGGCACTTGCCGTTAGCTGCGAAGGAGTAAGTGGGCAAAGCACCAGACGTGCAAGGAAAGTTTAGCAGTTTAACTTGCCAAGTGTCCTTAATGCACATATTGTACTCGGTGTTTTTGGGGTGATTTGGGCAGAAATGCATTAAATGTGTCGGGTTTGAGAAGCAATGCGATTTTCTTTGTAACTTTTGTCATGTATTCTGCACATTGCCAAGCATTTGATATGTCCCCATCAATTGTAGAGCACACCTGTCGTTTCTCCGTTCAAATGCGCAGGAAATTAAATACTTTTTTTCTTTAAGAAGACTTTCTCTAACAATACTGATGTTAATATAGGAACAATACCTTCTATGGTGGTGACAGTTATTGGTCGTGCAAATTAAAAACTTTGATAACCACATGTAAAAAAAGAATAGTTGTGTATGCGTCGATCGGAATACTTGACTGGGATATTTTATACAGGGTGTTTGAAGAACATGGACCCGATTTGAAATCGCTATATCTCTGCAACCACGAATCGCCCATGAATGAAACTCTTACCACTTGAAAGGGCGGGGCATAGAGTTTCAAATGATCACCGCTAGATGCCTCTCCCAGCGCACAAACAGCCCCTAGCCTCAGTCATTCGCAAGACAACACTGCCTCAACGTTGGATAGGTTGCACGGGACCCCAAGACTTGGCGCGACACTCTTGGCCCCCAAGATCCCCAGACATCACCACACCCTGCGACTTTTTCTTGTGGGGATACGTCAAAGACCGTGGTGTTTTTGTGACACCATTAGCGACTAATCTGGATGACCTCAAAAACAGAATCACGGCAGTGGTGACTTCAGTGGAAGAAGACACTTTGAGAGGTGTTTGGGACGAATTCAACTATCGTCTCGATGTTGTCCGTACAGCAGGTGGAGGGCACATAGAGGATTTATAAAATTGTTAGTAAAACTTAACTCATTAAATCGTTTGTAACGTTTTGTGTAATTGTAACATGTTGCCATCGTGAAATATACTCCTTTGAAATTGGGTCCATCTTTTTGAAACACCCTGTATACTCACTTGGTAAAGTTTGCATTATTACTTATAGTGTGGAGTCACATCTGAGGCTATTACAAGGCTTGCCTGGTGGAAGACTCGCACAATTCAGTCACAAGGAATTTCCACCATTGGCTTAAGAGCCACCCAGGGAGATGCCACAACCTTAAAAATCGTTTGAGCAATGGGACACTGATTACAAACAAGATAAGCTCTTACTACTGACATCGTGTGTTAAACTGTCAAAAGTTTAATATTGTTTTCCTAAATGTACTTTTTGAGAGTGCAATTAATGTTACATTAGTCAACAAATTTATGAGCTTATGACATTGGAGAGAACATTTATTCAAAACACAACTTGGGATGAAATGGCATACTAAGAAATGTCACAATGACCTCAGGTTAGGCTGATCACCAAGTCCCATCTTTTATCCTAACACTGATCATTATTCATAGTGACGATGGAAGTGTGCAGAGAAATGCATACCATTTTAAACCATTCTTTTTCATCGCGTCTTCATTTAAATGTCACTCCGCCAGGAGCTTGCTCCGAGTGCGTATGTTAAACCCCGAGAAGGGTAATTATCATTGCTTTAAATCCACAAATAAAATAAAAATGTTTGTCCGTCAATTTGGTTAATTATCACAACCCACTGGGACATTTAAACACTTCGATTCCATTGTCTTAATATATTTGTTTTGCACCCTCGTAGTCTGTAGATTTTTTTTTGGTAACGAAGTGTAAAAATCTAATTTCTGCCAGAATACTTGTTTCGGTCATAACCTCTCATATATATACTGTAGTTGTCTCTTGCACAGTTTGTGATGTCGGAAATTAAACTAGTGGTTATGCACACCACTTTCAAGTAGGGATTCATTTTAGCCAAGTCTGTCTGGGTCAAGGACCCGGAATATATTTCCACACGGCACACCACATCCAGTCTACCTCTCACCTGTGGCTGAGACTATCCAGGCACGTTACTCCAGTCGACCAGCGACCCAGAAAATATTCAGCGAGAAATTAAGTCCCCAATGCACGGGTGAGGAGTTGAATACTCCCGTATGCAAGTTCGCTAATTTTCTGACAGCTCAAATACATGTTATTTAAAGCTGACATTTTCTAGCGCAATGGGGAACACCTTGACATAGCCTTTATACTTTCCCTCCCCAATAACATTTAAATAGCGCAGTCGTGAATTTTACAGTCTGCAGGAAATTGTGTAATTTTTTAAGTGATACCAAAACGATTCATGGCTGCATTTACATCATCTACATCATAATTATTGTGTTGCCAAAAGCCACAAGTTAGTGCCACAAGCCATAGCATCCAACTTAGCCACGTGAATTAGCCTCTCCCTGATGCTTGGGTATGTCATCTGCAGCTGGTTCAGAGTAAATTTTAAATAAAAATGCAAATTGCACTTTCGACAGCTCGCAGGGGAGGGGAAAAACGCAGCCTAAGGGAGCTGCCAAATTAATAAACAGATCACTCGAGGCCCAGGCGTGACACCCTGACCCAGCCGTGTTTGCCTGATAAGGGTCATGTGACCCCCCCCCGCTCCAACGTGCCAACTTTGCTGGTTCTCAGAGTATTACCGAAGCAAAAAAAAATACAACCTACACCATTAATCTTTAGCTCTGGGACTAAATTGCTCTTTATCACCGACCTGAGAGCGGCGTGCGTACATAGCGAACGTTGTGTGATTTGCCACGGTGAATTCCAGCACTTTCCATAATATTGCACCTATGAGCTGAAAACTGCTTTTAACTTGTTTCACCGGTGCAGTGAGTAGCAGTGCAAAACTAGTATATTTTATAGCGTTACACCCAATGCGTTAAAAAAAAACAGAACAATAGTGTTTTTTTATATCAACGCCCTGTATGTGCTCACACCACGTGTCGCTCAACTATGGATTTAATTGCCGATTTTGTCACTGGATTAGCTCTTGTTTTGTTGGCTGTTGTCTTGAGCGTAATAAGCAAGAATTTATCTGGACGTGAAAAAAACTAAAAAGTCGATGTTAGCAAACCACAACGAACGGCGCAAACTCTGGAACTCATTCAAATTGTCCTCTTGAGTGAGTCTCGTACTGAAACCCGCCCTCCGCCAACCCACGCAACCTCCCCACCCTTGACTCGCCGCACAAACTCGGAGGGGCCGTCCAGTGGAGACGTTTTCCCATCAAACCCAAACGCAATACCCCAAGGGCCTTTGAAATAAAACACCCCGGGCTCCAATGCCATTGGCACAAGACATGACCCCGTGCACATCAATCTTAGCTTGAGCTGCCACAGACAGTGGTTTACCCTGTGGTCAGGCCACCGAGCGCCTTACACCCACCAACCCATCACACACCTCCCCCACCTCAGCCCAACCTCCGAGCTCCATTCGGGTTTGAGTGAGGGTGGCAACTCCACGCTTCTTGCCATATACAGCATGGTGCCTCGCGCAGAAAGCCCGTTCAGTGGCTGGTGCAGTGTGCGTAGTGGTTATTATTTGTATTTTCTTTGTTTACCCGGGAAAGTATTACTGAGTATCATGCCTGCTTTTTTTTCAGAGGGTTCTGCCAAGTTTTCGCAGGAGGGAGCGATGATCGCTACGCACACTCCAATTGAGTAATTTGCGGATAATTCTTCAAATGTGAACTCCGACGATGGCACACAATGTCCTGAGCTTGCATAAGGACATCACCTCATCTTTTTACGTGCGCTCTGAAGCAGACGGCGCAAAGT